TTTGATGGACTCCTGTCTCACATTTAGGTCTTTCATCCATTTTGAGTCTATTTTTGTGTGTGGTGTAAGGAAATGGTCCAGTTTCATTCTTCTGCATGTGGCTGCCTGACTTCCTTTCTTCTGTGGGTCTCAAATCATCTTCCTTTCAAAGGTTCATCTCAAATCCTACCTCTTTCATTCAGCCTGAGTGAACTACTCTAGTCCCCATTACTGTTTGCCCTCTGCACAGCTCTGTATAAACAGAACACTGCACATTTGTCATGGGGGAAAGGGAGAGGAGGAGGCAATTCCTTCCATGTAATTATTAACTCCTTAAGTAGTTTATAAGCTTTGGAAGGAAGGAACTTTGTCTTACAGAGACTACATGTGTCGGTAAGAGATAGAGTTTTGGAATTAGGAAAAATAATCTGGTATTCAATCTTGGCTCCGTGACCTTTAGCAAAATACCTCTCTGTAGACCTTAGTTTTTGTGAAGACTAGGCATAATGATTCCATGCCCTGACTTCCTTGCACAGGGATCAAATGTTTAGATCAAGATCATAGCCCACAGGGGCGCCTGGGTGGCTCAGTCGGTCAAGCAACTGCCTTCGGCTCGGGTCATAATCCTGGAGTCCTGGGATCGAGTCCCACATCGGGCTCCTGGCTCAGCAGGGAGTCTGTTTCTCCCTCTGACCCTCTCCCCTCTCATGCTGTTTCTCACTCTCTCTCTCTCAAATAAATAAATAAAATCTTAAAAAAAAAATTATAGCCCACAGCACTTTATTAACCTGTGAAGCACTCTAAGGAAGCAAGGGGTTATTATAAGAGGTGCTATGGTGTTATAAAAAAGGCAAGGGAATTTGGGGATCTGAATTTTGAGTCATATTTGTATTTCTGCTCTACCACTTACCCAGTTTATGACCTTAAAAAGTTTTTTATTTCTTTGTAAAATGAGAATGACACTATTACAAGGATTATAGTGCTGGTGCTGACTTACACACCAATTTGTAAGAGCTGATTGAAACTTTGCAAGTAGGTTACTAAACTATTATTAGCTTGAAATCTGCCATGGTGGGAGTATTTATACCAGAGAAATCAGTAAACACTACAAATCAGAGTGTCCCGGTGTTTTTTTTCCTTTTTTTTGGTTTTGTTTTGTTTTGTTTTCTGCAGAACTGTTTTACCAGTATATTGCTGATTATGCATACTGGGCTGTGTAAATTGTAAGACACTTTGTCTCATTTATCATTAGAAGTAGTAATTGTAACAGTAATGCTTTGTATCCACAGAACTTAGCTTAGTGCAAAGCACAGCTCCTAGTATCTATTTAATAAGTATATTTTTAATTTAACTTGGGTTCACCCTTGTATTTTTTTTTTTTAAAGATTTTATTTATTTATTTGAGAGAGAGAATGAGACAGAGAGAGAGAGCATGAGATGGAGGATCAGAGGGAGAAGCAGACTCCCTGCCGAGCAGGGAGCCCGATGCGGGACTCGATCCCGGGACTCCAGGATCATGACCTGAGCCGAAGGCAGTCGCTTAACCAACTGAGCCACCCAGGCGCCCCACCCTTGTATTATTTTAATACTTCTGCCTTGAGCTAAAGAAGCACTCCCATCCCATCTTCCCACATCCCTCTCTACAAAGTGTCTTTTTAAAATCAGATAACATAAATAAAAGCCTGGTATGGTGCATTAACACACACAATAGGACTTAAACCCTCCATGTCTGTAACTGAGCTAATTACCTTTTTTCCAAACCTTTCTTTCTTCTGCTATTTCATATCTCAGTTAATGATATTGCCCATCTATCCATTATCCCAAGTAAGTTATCTGAAAGTCTTCCTCTCTTTTCCCTTTTCTTTACCCACACCCAGGTCTAATCAATCACTAGATCTTGCTTATTCTACCTCTTCAATCTTTCTCCTCCTCCTCATTACCACTGCTCCTGCCTTGGTTCAGGCCCTCATCATTCCCACTTGAACTCTTCCTCCTAAGTGACATCTTGACTTTCAGTGTTTCCCCTTCAATCCAACCTCTACTTCTATAGATGTAATTTTAAATTACAAATTTGAGGGGCGCCTGGGTGGCTCAGTCAGTTAAGTGTCTGCCTTCAGCTCAGATCGTGATCAGGGGTCCTGATCCGGGGATCAACCCTGCATCACATGGGGCTTCCTGCTCAGCGGGGAGTCTCTTCCCTCTTCCCCTCCCCCCGCGTGCATGCATGCGTGCTCTCTCAAAATCTTTTAAAAATAAATTAATTAATTAAAAATTTGACCAAATCACTCCCCCAATTAAAATTTCTTAATGGCTCTCTGTTGTCTTGAGGATAAAAATCCAAAAACTTTAGTTTGTCATCTGGGTCCACCACATTCTGACCTTTGGCTACCTTTTATAAGAGTTATCTCCTGCTGCTCCCCAATACTTCCTGCAATGTCTAGTCTCACTTTTACCTGGTTTACCCTCCAACCCAAACAACATTTCCTCTATGACTTCTCTGGATGTATTTGATGTTTATTTTTCTGAGCTCCTGTAGCACCTTGTTCATGTCTGTGTACCATATATCTAACCATGTGACTCTTATTATCAATTGGTCTTTCCCTCTAGATTGTAAGTTCCTATAGAGTAGAAGCCTATGTACCATTCATTAATTCCTAACACATTGTGTAGCATATAATAGGAGCTCAATACATATTTACATGAATGAATGAGTCTTCAAAGGATAGGGTATTTTCATTGGTTCATTCACACAAGCTACTCATAGGATATGGCAATGAAAAAAACACTTAAAATTTGGATCTCAGTAATTCAGATGAGAAATTAATAACATAGGGGTAGTTTCTTTTTATCCATAAACCCCAATCTGGGATACTATGACCCCCATCACCTTCAGGATAAAATCCAAGCCTTTTAGCCTAGCATACAAATCTCCTTGCAAAATGGTCCCTGACTGTCTTTTTTTTTTTAGAAAATTTTTAAAAGATTTTATGTGTTGGGGCGCCTGGGTGGCTCAGTCGTTAAGCATCTGCCTTCGGCTCAGGTCATGGTCCCAGGGTCCTGGGATCGAGCCCCGCATTGGGCTCCCCGCTCAGGGGAGAGCCTGCTTCTCCCACTCCCCCTGCTTGTGCTCCCTCTCTCGCTGTGTCTCTGTCAAAATTAAAAAAAAAAAAAGATTTTATGTGTTCATTTGAGAAAAAGTATGAGAGAGAATGAGAACACAAGCGGAGGAGAGGCAGACAGGGAGAGAGAAGCAGACTCCCCACTGAGCCTGACGTGGGGCTCTATCCCAGGACATGGAGATCATGACCCAAGCCAAAGGCAGGGGTTTAACCATCTGAGCCACCCAGGTGCCCCTGGTTCCTGACTTTCTCTCCTTTCTTATCATTCTCTCTATATATACATATAACCCTACATTCCAGCCACTTCAATTTGTCATATATTCCATAGTCTTTCATGCATCCTTGCCCTTGTTCATACTTTCTCCACATCTGTGGTATCCTCTCCCTCTTCTCTCACTCACCCCTTTCCTGCCAACCCGATGAGGTTCTACGCTTCTAACACTGATCAATAGTTACCACCTTTGGGCAGCTAGCCCTGAAAGTATCCCTCCCTCTTCTGTGCTCCCAGAGCACTTGGTTCATTCATGATAAGCACTGTACTGTCAATCATTGTTGGTCTGTTTCTTGCCCCCTCCGTAAAGTGAGATTCTCTTTATACCCTGGTTCCTATTAAACATATTCTAAATGTTTAATTCAGAGTGAAGGAAGAAATAACTATTATATAGGGATTTGTAAAGAAAGTAAATTTCTGACATACAATGAATAAATTTAAGATTGAATTTGCATGAACTGGCCAATCTAGACAATTCCATGTCTTTATTTTCAGAGGTTGGGTGGCCCTGAGAAATCGGTGCTAATGGACAGATCAGAAGCAAAGAATAAGTTTAAAGCACTGGGGCTTAGTTTGTTGCCCCAGATTTGGTGCATTACAGTAAAAACAGATTTTATATCTTAGGAATTTGTGTTGTCACATAAGACATTTACCTACATGACTTAATGAATACCTTAGGAAGTAAAACAATGCCCCAGGAGAAAAAACACTAAAGAAAATAGAAAAAATATGAGCAGGATGTTGTTCCTAATAAAACAGTGTTTATCAAGACATTTAATTTCTCTTTGGGAAGGGAAACAATTTTTTTTTAATATTTTTAAATATCAGTCTGTTTAGGCTGCTATGATAAAAATACCATAGACTAGATGGCTCAGACAAAAAATACATATCTCTCACAGTTCTGGAGGCTGGGAAGTCCACGATCAAGGCACTGGCATATTTGACGTGTCTGTGAGGGCTCCACTCTTATGACCTAATCACTTCCCAAAGGCCCCACTTCCAAATACTATCACACTGGGAATTGGGTTTCAGCATATGAATTTTGGAGCAAGGGGACACAACCATTCACTCTATAGCAACATATTAATGCAGAATGCTTGGAATAAAGCCCTCCCAAATCTAACCACCTAGACTTAACAGTAGTTAATAGTTAACAATAGTTAGTTCTTGGGATATATTCTTCCAGTCTTTTTCTTATGTATGTGTTCGTGTGTCCTTTCCAGTAAAAGGTGGGGGGTGGGTGAAACAGGTGATGGGGATTAAGGAGGACACTTGTGATGAGCACCAGGTAATGTATGGAAGTGTTGAATCACTATATTGTCACCTGAAACTAATATTACATTGTATGTTCACTGGAATTTAAATAAAAACTAAAAAATTGTAAGGGCTTATGTTGTACATATTGTTCTAACCTATTTTTTATATTAACATGTCATGAACGTTTTCGCAGGTTCGTAAATGCTCTTCTACAACATGATCTGTAATTGCTGCATAGTATTCCACCATTTGGATGTATACCAGTGTTTAACCAATCCCCATTGCTTCAGTGTTTTTGTTATTATAAACAGAAGTGTGGTAGTGTGTGTGACTAAAAGAAGGGTGATCTCACGTCCTCCTCCTATCTTCCCCAGGTTCTGGAGCCCTCTCTTGCATCAGAATTCTGTCCCAGTAATCCTCTGAGTGTCATCTCAGGACCCTGGGCACACTCATGGCACCATGGCCAACCCTCAGGAGCACCTGAGCTGCTCCTCTTCCTCACACTTACCCTCAAGTGAAAGCAGAACCTTCAACGGACTACAAGATGAACTCACTCCTGTGGGGAGCCACCCATCACCCAAGCTCCTTAAGGACCAGCAGGAAAAGGGGGTGGTACAAACAGAGCTAACCGAGAGCATGAACTGCCCCATCACCACAACAGTGTTGACAAGCGTGAGTGAGGATTCCAGGGACCAGTTTGAGAACAGCGTTCTTCAGCTAAGGGAACAAGATGAATCAGAGATGGCCATGTCTCAGGGGAACAGCAACACCGTGGATGGAGAGAGCACAAGTGGAACTGAAGACGTCAAGATTCAGTTCAGCAGGTCGGGCAGCGGCAGTGGTGGGTTTCTGGAAGGACTGTTTGGATGCTTAAGGCCTGTCTGGAATATCATTGGGAAGGCATATTCCACTGATTACAAATTACAGCAGCAAGGTAAGGTAGAGTGTGGACCTGGGAAATAGTCCCTGCCATCACCACCATTCACTGGATAACCTTTGATTAAAACCCTAGTGCCCGATGAATACCCTGTACCAATCTCCTATAAACCTTCTGACTGGAACAGATTCACATTTGGTTGGTCTTTTCTGGCCAAAGCCCATCTTTTGTAGCTGTCCAGTCTAGGGGTGTCAAGTAGAGTACATAGAAGACAATCTACAGTGTTACAAGGAAGAAAATGTTAGAGCTCCTGTTCCTTGTATCATCATTTTAAGTTTCTATTTTCATGCATGTTTTCATATATATTTGGTATTTTAATAAAGTTGTGCAGATACATAACTTATAAATAATCACCTAGTGCATGTTTACAAAATTTTTTATTGAGAGTTCATGCAATCAAAAAGTCTGATGGCCACTGGATTAACTCAAAACCAGACAGACGCCACATGGTTCTCTGCCTAAAGCTTGTGCCCTGGTTTAGGTTGTAGTAAAAAGGAATCATTTTCTTACAGCCCAGGCACAGAAAGCTCACATTGTGAGGAAAGAACAAATATACAACCAATCTTGAGAAGCATTATTATGTCTAGATCCCACAGTTTTTAAAAAGTAAATTAACTCCCATCACAGTGTAACATGCATATTCATATATTCCAATTCAAGCATTATGCTTCTGAAGGAAAGAGAACACATGGCCCTAGTGTTCTTTATAACTTCATTTATATTCTTTAGAAGAATTTTTTTCTTCCTGATAGCAAAAATAATATATGTGGTTAAGTTGGAATATACAGGTAAGTTTTCCCCCAAAAGTAAAAATATTTATCTATGATCCTCAGTCTTCACTATTAATGTTTTTGGTATATATTATGTTAGTCTTATTATCTGTGTGTGTGCTTTAAACAAAAAAACAGTCAAACTATTTCATTATGCCTTTTCACTTCACATTTTGAACATTTCCCATATCATGAAATATACTTCTTCAGCATTTTTAATGCCTACACAGTATTAAATTGTGTGAATGTGCCAAGATTTCTTTAAGCAATCCTCTATTCCTTGGCAATTTGTTATTTTTAGTGATCATATGCTATACTGCAATGAACATCTGTTTATTACTTAATTTTCACACATACCCTTCATTATGTCTGTGATCATTCTTATTATATCTTTGATTTCCTTAAGATAAGTTTTTAGAAGACACATGGTTGAGTTAAAATGGTTCATGGCTTTTTAAGGCTTTTGATACATATATTTGTAGTATTATGTAAATGATTCCATTGTTAATAGTTCTCTCATCAAGAAATTTTGGAAAGGATCAGAAATGTAGACCAGAAATGAGATTCTGTCTTATTTATTTTATATCTGAATTTTGGACTCTATAACCCTCTCTTAGAAATATATTCATGTTGGGGCTCCTGGGTGGCTCAGTTGGTTGAGCATCTGACTTTGGCTCAGATCATTATCTGGGAGTCCTGGGATCGAGCCCCACATCGGGGAGCCTGCTTCTCCCTCTCCCTCTGCCCCTCCCTCCGCTTGTGAGCTCTTTCTCTCAAATAAATAAAAATCTTTTTAGGGTGCCTGGGTGGCTCAGTTGGTTAAGCGACCGCCTTAGGTTCAGGTCATGATCCTGGAGTCCTGGGATCGAGTCCCGCATCGGGCTCCCTGCTCAGCAGGGAGTCTGCTTCTCCCTCTGACCCTCCCCCCTCTCATGTGCTCTCTCTCATTCTCTCTCTCTCAAATAAATAAATAAAATCTTTAAAAAAATCTTTTAAAAAATTAAATAAATATATATATATATACACATATATTCGTATCTTTCAGTCGAGACTGTTGACAGCTTTTCCACAACAGCCAGTTGACCTTAGTCACTATTGACCACTTTTCTTGTGCATTCTATTTTTCTGATTTCTGAAATATTTTCTCTCTTTTTTTTTTTCTTATGTTAATCCCCATACATTACATCATTAGTTTTAGATGAAGTGTTCCATGATTCATTGTTTGTGCATAACACCCAGTGCTCCATGCAGAATGTGCCCTCCTCAATACCCACCACCAGGCTAACCCATCCTCCCACCCCCCTCCCCTCCAGAACCCTGTTTGTTTTTCAGAGTCCATCGTCTCTCATGGTTCGTCTACCCCTCTGATTTCCCCCGCTTCATTCTTCCCCTCCCGCTACCTTCTTCTTCTTCTTTTTTTTTTTCTTAACATATATTGCATTATTTGTTTCAGAGGTACAGATCTGAGATTCAACAGTCTTGCACAATTCACAGCGCTTACCAGAGCACATACCCTCCCCAGTGTCTATCACCCAGTCACCCCATCCCTCCCACCCCACCCCCCACTCCAGCAACCCTCAGTTTGTTTCCTGCAATTAAGAATTCCTCATATCAGTGAGATCATATGATACATGTCTTTCTCTGTTTGACTTATTTCACTCAACATAATACCCTCCAGTTCCATCCACGTCGTTGCAAATGGCAAGATCTCATTCCTTTTGATGGCTGCATAATATTCCATTGTGTATATATACCACATCTTCTTTATCCATTCATCTGTCGATGGACATCTTGGCTCTTTCCACAGTTTGGCTATTGTGGACATTGCTGCTATAAACATCGGGGTGCACGTACCCCTTCGGATCCCTACTTTTGTATCTTTGGGGTAAATACCCAGTAGTGCAATTGCTGGATCATATGGTAGCTCTATTTTCAACTTTTTGAGGAACCTCCATACAGTTTTCCAGAGTGGCTGCACCAGCTTGCATTGAAATATTTTCTCTTAAACCAATACCTCTCTTAAACCTCTCCCTCTATACCCTTTCCCAGTATGTGTATTGGATTTGCTGGTAAATCAATTGATCCCAGGTGTGCTTTCCAGGATTTGTCAGTCAGAGCATCCATTCCTGTACATGCAGAAAGTCTTTGTGTCCATGGGGTTGGTCTGTCTGTCTGTTTCACTGTCTTTCATACATCCTCCCATCCCATCCACCCTGCACATTCCACCCTTCTTTCCCCCTCTATGGTCTTAAGGTTTCAAGAAATTAAAAAGTTGTTCCTTGTCACACAAAGGTTGGGGGTTTCAATGTTAAACAGTATTATTATTTTAAAAATTGGGAATTAAGCACAAAGAGGAAAATAAAAAATAACTTGTTATCCCACAACCCAGAGATAACCACCCTTAGTTTATTATTTTTAAAAAAGTTCCCTCTCCTCTGCTTAGACACAAAACCTACTAATATCTGCTTACGTGATAAAATTGCATTTGGCTTTTAGGGTCTTAACTTGTCCAGTCTAATAATTATTTTGGTGGTAATTTGGAGATCTCAGGATACAAATTCAGCATCGAGGTTCAGGCTCATGAAGAGGGGCAGCAGATACATCCTATGTGTCTGTCAAAAGGGCCTTTCAAATTTGGGGGCAGGGTGCCTGGGTGGCTCAGTCCGTTATGTGTCCGAATCTCCATCTCAGCTCAGGTCTTGGTCTCAGGGTTGTGAGTTCAAACCCCCTAAATGGGCATGGAGCCTACTTAAAAAAAATTTTTTTTAATTGTCCTATAAACTTGTATTTAATCAATCTTCTGATTATGTGACTGCCAGAAAGGCTTATTTCAAGAGTAAATAAGAGGGCGCCTGGGTGGCTCAGTTGGTTAAGAGTAAATAAGAAACGGGCCTGGTCAGCTTAAGCTTACAAGGCAGCTTATAGCTGCCTAGCTCTTCAGCAGATGACAGGATACCCTACTGTGGGCTGGAGTTGCGGGGGGCCGTGAAAGGGATTCACTAGCCAGGAACTAAGGTAGTTTTTTCCTTGTCAGCTCTGGGATCAGGAAGCTAATCTTTAATCCTGGATTACAGTCAACCAAAGGATAGCACACAGAACAGATGTGTCTCTGCATTTGGTACTTATAAGGAAACTTCACTTGATTTTTCAAAAATTTTAATGACATCTTCATCTCCCATTTAGCATGTTGGTAGTGAAATCCAAGTAAGGTAGTATGTGTAATTGAAATTTTTTACTGCCAAATAGTTCCCAGTCCTAAAGCAAGTATTATATCGTAGCTATGTCTGAATACAAACAACAGAGAACTTATGCCTTAAAAGTGGGTGGGCATGGGGCTTTTTCTCAGTCTTAGAGATCATGGTAGATATTGGAATTAAGATAATAGTCATAGTGATGAATCAGAAGATAGAAGCTGGGGAAGAGTACCAATGGACGGCTATAAAAGCAGAAAGTCTGGGATTAACCCTGGAGTGAACACAGTCAGGTTCCATTGTTATGTCGTTATCTTGCTGTCAGTTATCAGGGCCCCCAGTTTTGCACATCCTCATTGCAAACATTCTTTTTTCTTTTTCTTTTTTTTAAGATTTTTATTTATTTATTTATTTATTTGAGAGAGAGAGAAACAGCATGAGAGGGGAGAGGGTCAGAGGGAGAAGCAGGCTCCCCACTGACCTGGGAGCCCGATGTGGGACTCGATCCCAGGACCCCAGGATCATGACCTGAACTGAAGGCAGATGCTTAATGACTGAGCCACCCAGGTGCCCCATAAAATACAAAGTCTTTTTAAAAAACATTCTCTTAATATGTGTCAAAGAAATAGAAAACTCCTTCAAATTTATGAGGACTATGAGACCCCCGACAGATAAATGCACAAAGCATAAATGTGGCAATTCATGCAGAGCAGATGTGAGCATTAAACAAATGTGGAGAAAATATTCTACTTCACTGGCAATTAAAGTAGTGCAAACTTGGGGTGCCTGGGTGGCACAGTTGGTTGAGCGTCCAACTCTTGGTTTCAGCTCAGGTAGTGATCTCTGTGTTGGGAGATTGAGCCCTGCATTGGGCTCCCTGCTCATTGAGGAGGCTGCTCAGGATTCTCTCCCTCTCCCTCTGCCCCCGTGCTTGCTCTCTCTTTCTCAAATAAGTAAGTCTTTTAAATAAATAAATAAAGTAGTGCAAGCTTATAAAACATTACTTTACACCTAAATAACTTAGAACCCAAAAAACTATCAACAATATTCATTGCTGGCAAAGTAAAAGGGACACACACACTCATGCATTACTACTGTCAGCAAAAACTAGCAAAGCCCTTTTGTATGGCAAGTTAGAATGTATAGCAAAAGCCAGGAAACTGTACTCTAACCTAAGAACTGAGTCTGGGGAAATAATATAAAGAAAGAAAAAAGTATCAAATTTAAGCCAGCAAACAAAAAGATGGAAGGACTTAAGTACAGAAAAGGTAAAAGGGTACAGTAAGCTACTATTGAAGCTTATAATGAAAACTGTATATACAGGGGGGATACACAATAAATAAAAAAGATTATGTGTCACCTACAACTTCTACACAGCTGCACACATATGAGCAAAGACTGGAAGAGAAGATGATAACTGAATATGGAATGGGATTGCAGATAAAATACTTTATTTTCTAATATTTGCTGGTGTTTCTAGCATTTAACAATAAATAAAGATTGAGTAAATAGGGAAAAACACGTAAGAGGTCTAATTTTAGTTATTTAGTAGTTATGAAAAATGAGGATAACTTGGGCTTTTATAAAGTTTTTCAGAAAAATATTGCCCAGGATGTTCTTGCCCCAGAATCCAGTAATAGTCCTTTTATTTGGCCCCGGAATGGCCAAAGTAACACTGTGTCTAGTTCTTCACCAGACCTCTCCCAAGTAAAACCCTCTGACACTATGCCATCGATATCTGGGTCCTGTGTGTGCTACACAGATAAGCCTGTGGGGATGAAAGTGGGACTGCGTGAGACACTTTACACTTGTCAGTCATTCGAAGCCAGAAAGATCCTCAAAGCAGTCAAGCCCATAACTCACTCTTTCCTCCTGCATCTCACTTGGTATCATTTGTTTATTCGGTGATTTCGTGTTTGTGAGCTATTTGTATTTTAGAGAAATTTGTTTTTATGTAGCGTCTATCTAACTTCAATAGAGCAGATATCTTTAATCTGCTCAGAACAGAAGAATGGGTTAAATATCTGTGCTGTCAAACACCCTCACTATAATTTGTTCTGCTCTATGTCATCCTCTCTGGAAGGTCATGTTTTAACCACTGTAATGAGAAGCCACATTTTGTTAAGAGTCTACGGGATTTATTTTCTCTCAAGTTCGAGAAAATGAGAGAAGAGGGAAATGTAGTTCCCTTCCAGGTACTGATGACCTCTTTCTGCTGCTTCATCACCATAGTAGATGTGAGTTGATTTGCTTTCAAGACCAGAATATCTTCAAAGCTGACTCAACACTACCTTGTTCAGTATTCTGCAAACAGTGACCTTTTAGTGATTGGTGATCTAATGAAAATCCCCCATAACCTTTAACATTGTCATTATCCTCTCCTCACTCCATGGGACTCCTCGTTCTTTGATGTTTATTTCTTACCAGTGTAGTGACAATGCACTGATAAAAAGGGGGACAAGGAGAAGGATCAATGGATCATATTCTCCTTTTTAAGTTCCATGAGATTAAAGCATGTATTGATTGAATTTTTGAAGTGCTTCATTTAAAATAGCATTTTAGGGCGCCTGGGTGGCTCAGTTGGTTAAGCAACTACCTTCGGCTCAGGTCATGATCCTGGAGTCCCGGAATCGAGTCCCACGTCGGGCTCCCTGCTCGGCAGGGAGTCTGCTTCTCCCTCTGACCCTCCCCCGTCTCATGCTCTCTCTCTCTCATTCTCTCTCTCAAATAAATAAATAAAATCTTTAAAAAAATAAAAAATAAAATAGCATTTTATTCATTACAAAAGTAATACAGGCTCATGGTAAAAAAAAAAATACAGCATAGGATAAAGAGCATAATATGAATCATCAATAATGTCACCACTTAGAAGTGACTTCTGTTACTTTTTTGGTGCAAAGAAAATCAAATTCTAAGAAAGAGAGAAACTTGAAAATACTGCATCTATATGAGTAAATCTATTATGGCTAATGACCCTCTCAATTACTTCACAAGAGGCAATGTGGTATAGTGGAGAAAGCACTGTCCCTGGAATCAGCCAATTCTTGAGTTCTGCCACTTACCAGCTGTATGTCCTTGGGTAAGTTCCTTAATCTCCCTGGCTCAGTTTTCTCATCTATAAATAACCATAATAAGGCCAGACTTCCAAGATTGTTGAAAGGATCAACACATGAGATACATAAAGCTTTATGCTAGTGTCTGGCACGTAGTAAGTACTCAATAAAAGGGAAATATGAATATAAGTTTTGTGCATAATTAGGTCCTTGGGAGGGTATCATTGAAAATTCATTCAGGAAAGATTAATTGAGCATCTATACTAGAAATTCAAAGAGGAATAAAACAACACTGACTTACAATGGGTAATGGGATAGGGATAGTGGTATAGAGACAGATAAGTGGATTGAACGTGCAAGTTTGAAGTGAGGAAGTGGGGCCACGGGAATGTCAAGATATGTTTTGTTTGGAGGAGAATATATTGGAGATCTCCGATCTGCTTGATTTCATTGGTTAAAAATTGATACAAACTGGGGTACCTGGGTGGCTCAGTCAGCTAAGCGTCTGCCTTCAGCTCAGGTCATGATCCCAGGGTCCTGGGATCGAGCCCCACATCCACAAAGGACTCCCCACTCAGCAGGGAGTCTGCTTCTCCTCTGACCCTCCCCCCTTCTCGTGCTCTCTCTCTCTCTTTCTCTTTCACTCACTCTCTCTCTCTCTCTCAAATAAATAAAATCTTTAAAGAAAATGATACAAACTAACACATGAGAATATCTGATCTATTGTACCAAGACCCATAGGAAGGTTATATCTTTTGGTGCGTTACAGGTGGGAGTCCAAAGGTAGAGATCATTTTGGGTGACGCTGAAGTTGGTACCTTTGGGGTGGCCTTGTAGAACGGTCCCTGAGCAAATCCCAAGATCTCTCAAAGTTTGTTTCTCGCTTGTGTGCCTAGATACTTGGGAGGTGCCGTTCGAGGAGATCTCAGAGCTGCAGTGGCTGGGTAGTGGAGCCCAAGGCGCTGTCTTCTTGGGCAAGTTCCGAGCGGAGGAGGTGGCCATCAAGAAAGTGAGAGAACAGAATGAGACGGATATCAAGCATTTGAGGAAGTTGAAGCACCCTAACATCATCGCTTTCAAGTAGGTCAAGGCTTTCTTTTTCTTTTCTTTTTTTTTTTTTTAAGAAATAGATTTTTTTTTTTTTTTAAGATTTTATTTATTTGAGAGAGAGAGAGCACACGAGAGGGGGGAGGGTCAGAGGGAGAAGCAGGCTCCCCGCCAAGCAGGGAGCCCAATGCGGGACTCGATCCCGGGACTCCAGGATCATGACCTGAGCCGAAGGCAGTCGCTTAACCGACTGAGCCACCCAGGCGCCCTAAGAAATAGATTTTCTTTCTCCCAATATCTACATATGAGTTCCTGCTTTGAAAGACGTATGAAAAATACTCTATAGACTTAGTACTGGGCTAGGTATTTTGGGAGGGCACCAAAGAATGATTAAATGAAGGTCCTGTCTTTAAGAATCATACAATCTGGTAGTTCTTTTTGCCAGAGCACACCCTTCTCGGAAAGGATATACATGGGACAGAGAGGGAGCGATGGATTCTTACCAAGCAATCATATCTGATGGATCAACCTCATTCATCAATGGGATGATGGAGGTCACTCTGAGATAACCTGCCCATCCGAAAATTCAGTTAAGAAAACAAAGCTGATATCTGAAGTGATCATAGAACAATTAGTCCCTGTGTAACAGAGAGGAATTTTTTTATTAGTTTCTATTAGCCTCCCTTCTTAAATATGAATTTGTAGTAAGAGGCACCTTCAGAGTGTTTCTCCCTGCCCTGGTTTTGCTAGATCCCTTTTCAAGTAATGCCAAACACTCAACTTTCTAAGTCTAATGACACTGGAATACTGATGAGAGTAAGTTATATGCTATGTTCATTCCACAATGTAGTTGTTTTCAAGAGTGTATGAACGTATCTTTCTAGTTCAGACTGTTATTTTCATAATACTGGCAGGGATCACTAGCAAAAGGGGAGGCACAAAGGTACATTTGTGGCAGTCCCCAAACCTGACAGTGCTGAGCTCTAAATATGTGTAATCTCTTCTGCCTGTACCTTTCCCTTGAGGTCCCTCTCTTGCTGGGCTTTAAATTCTGCCCTAGCCTGAAACAAATGAATAATGAGTGGCTTTACAGGAGGGAAGGTGAAGAACAGGAAAGCTAGTCTTCAGGTGGAATGACAGTTTAGAAACTAGAGCTTCTTGATACGTTTGACATATACGTATTTCAGTCCTGGAAAATAGTATGACTGATGAGGCTACCACTAAAAGGGGAATAATTTACAAATTCCCCTTCCCAAAACTAAGAGGAACTTCTCCCAGCCCCCAAGAGGGATCCTCTCTCGATAAAACTCTCATTGTAAAGGTAAACATGTCATGGGATCATTTTTCATTGGAATCACATCCCTAAAGTAAGGAATAGAAATCTTGGGGACAGGTTTTGTAGAATGGGTTTAAATGAGTATTGATGTTGAGTTTTGATTCCTTTATGGAAAGGGAAAGAGATGTGGAAAGGAGAGAAGCATTCAGCTGGGATACTAAATGAAGTGCTTGGATGTATCTCCTTGTGGAAGGGACATGCATACAGTGGGCATAGGAGAGAGCTTCGGTTGCCCTCTTGATCCCATCCTTTGTTATGCTGTTAGGGCCAGGAGGATGTGAGACGAAAATGAAATGCTATAGAGACTAATTATACTCTTTCCAAAGATGATACATTTCAAAAGACAGCAGAAGGATTATTTTTAAGCAGACAGACTATCAGAGACTCACTTCTTTCCTTCATTTTACTTCACTGAGAAAATCATCCCTTCTAGCATCCTACATCCTAAATGGAAGGAAGGGCCTTTCATTTAACTTCCGTTTAACGAAACTTTCAAGCTTCAATCACTAGGACGCTGAGTTTGAGATACAGAATATTCTACAGATTAGCGTGGCTTCTTGGCCTCCGGATGTGGGCTGGGCTGTCTGTCCCAGGTACGAGGGCTTACCACCAGGATGTCCTGGCAGAAATGTGTCCCAAGAGTATGGGTGTGAGAAGCTTTATTTTTCCTTCCTTCCTTTTGCTTTTTCCTCTTTCCTTTTTCCTTGCAACCTGTTCCGTACCTCACTCTTCCGACCCTCCTACCTACATGTGCAGTTTTCCGCATTTTGGACGAGTACGGCCATGCCAATGCCCCACTTTTTAGGCTGAAGATGCTCGAATAGTCTTTACCTCTACATGGAAACCAATAGTGAGACGGTGTCCCGGGTTCATTACACCATGCTCTTGAGGCCTTGGGCAGTGTTGTGTGTGCAGCCATCTGTGCCATGAGTTGCTTGGCCAATGAGTCATTCAGGACCGTCTGGAAGATACGAGGCATGATGAGATTTGAGTGTGTCTCTCTGGATGCTGATTGCTGTGCTTACAGCTTCCTTTGAAGTAAGAACCGTGTACAGAAGGGGAAGTGAAAGAAGAGAATTCTATATTTTCTTTGTCCAATTTTTTGAAAGCAATCTTTTAGGAAGACCTAATCTGACTGTTCCTAATGGAATTGGGTGCCAAGGGGAAGAAAAGGTGGCAATTAGAAGTGATTAGAGAGCTGCTATTTATAGCTACTAAGAAGCCTTGTCATAGTACAGGGTTGATGGAATGATTGCCTCTCATCAGTCAAGAAAGATGGAAAGTACATAACATATCACTGTTACCCCTTTCTCTCTGTTTGCAACAAGTTAAAACAGGGTTAAATAGAATGCTGAGTAGCTTCAAACAAATATTTATTTTGATATTCTTAAGCACATTACATTATTCCTGCCTATTCTTTGCTTTTCTGTAATGAAAATGAAATTGTCTGATTATAGTTGTGGTCTATCTGTGCTCCGCCAAGTGCTCCTAAAAGTCAAGTAACAGAAACTTGAAAAAAATTTTTCATTAGAAATGAAGATGAGAATTCTGGGTAGCTTAGAAAATGATCGGAGAGTAGTAGAAATAGCTCTGTGGCATTTGACAGGCATATCATGGCAGGGAAAATGAAGACTAATTTTACTTCTTCATAACCTGCTGTTGTTATAGGACTTTCCCATGGTCTCAAGCTATGCCCTCTTCATTCCCTAATCACTTACAGCCGCGTAAGAGAGAAGACATGAGTTGGTAGCTGGCTGAGGACTTTAGCTGGGCATCTTGTAGATAAAATACTCTCAACTCCTCTAGAAAGTTTTGAAAGAAGGCGTACATACTATTAAGAGATGGGATACCGAGAATTGTGTATGATAATTGTTCTCTTTTCTCATCTTCAGAACAAAAGTGTGAAGTAGAGTTAATTATCACTTTTCTAAGGTAACATTGATATAGGAATCCCCAATATGCTTGTGTATTCAGAAGTTACAAAGCACAAAGGGAGGGCAGTATAGCATAGTGTGTAGAAAAAGCATAGGCTTTGAAGTTAGACTGGATTTGAATCTAAGCTCTGTCACAGGTGTATCATCTAGGGCAGGTCACTTTCCCTCTCTGAACCTTACCCTAGAAATGGAAGAGGGCGTATGTGTTGCACAATGGTTTGGGGCAGATTAACTCAGACAATTACATAAACAGGGAACATTCCTGACAAATAGAAGTTCTTCCATGCTAGTTCCCCTCTTCCTACCCCGTGCACCTGCACATGTTTGTGCAAAGGGTCAGCAGCGAAGAAAGTTAAGGTGAAGTTAAGAAATATTTGTCAAGGACTTGCTGTGAACTTCTAGACCTTAAGGTAGAAAGAAAAGAAATTGAAGACCTTTCCCTTCCAGGAGCCAATGATCTGTATGGGGAGAGGAAATTTGCATATAAAAAAACCGAATGGCTCCCGGGTAGCATAAGAATTTAGAGAAAGATCTTCTTGGACTGGAATCATCAGGAAAGGCTTTGTGGAAGATGTAGGAATTGATGGAAATATAGGCCACATAGAAATAGGTTACATTGGGCGCCTGGGTGGCTCAGTTGGTTAAGCGACTGCCTTCGGCTCAGGTCATGATCCTGGAGTCCCAGGATCGAGTCCCACATCGGGCTCCCTGCTCAGCATGGGGTCTGCTTCTCCCTCTGCCCTCTTTCCTCTCGTGCTCTCTGTCTCTCATTCTCTCTCTCTCAAATAAATAAATAAAATCTTTAAAAAAAAAAAAAGAAATAGGTTACATTGTATGATAATTGTTTTTATTCTAAGCAGAAATGTTTTTCCAAAGACTATATAATATAGAAAATTGACTCTTTTTTTTGGTCCTCAGACTAGTTATCTTAAATTTGACTAATTTAAAATTCAACAATTAATAGTAAAAATAGCAGTATTTTATTTGAATTCTCTCTTTCTGTACCCTGTAAACCTTCTATTTAATTTTAAAAGGAAGATATTTCAGTTACTCTTAACAATCTAACACAACGCAGCGCCTGGCCTACACAAGTCTCAGGAAATGTGCTCTTTGTCCCAGAATGGAATGGCCCCACAGAAAAGCACTGGATCCAGCACAACATAGGGATAATCTGGAATGAGCAAAAGGAACTAAAATTGTCCATATGCATAATAGAGAAGCTTGCAGACTAGAGGGGGTTTAATGGTAATTGAAGAATTGGGAAAGATTATGCCTTTTAAAAATAATATGGACAGAGAACTGGTCTTAATCGTTAAATGTATTAAATATTCTTAAAATATAAATATGTATACAGGTACGTTTGTATGTATGTGTGAATTTATAAACATATTTGTGTTTTCTTGAAAGGGGCGTTTGTACTCAGGCCCCCTGTTACTGCATCATCATGGAATACTGTGCCCACGGACAACTCTATGAGGTTTTGCGAGCCGGCAGGAAGATCACACCTCGATTGCTAGTGGACTGGTCCACGGGAATTGCAAGTGGAATGAATTATTTGCACCTCCATAAAATTATTCATCGTGATCTCAAATCACCTAAGTGAGTTTGGGAGCTGATTTTTTGGACATTTTGTTTTATTGCTTTGAAATAAGGGAATTTTTATCAAGCACGGTTGTTTTCAGACATCATACTTTCTCGGTTGAGTTTAAATCGGCACAGTGGGTAATTCTCTTTGCATGTTTTCTGGATTCTTGTTGACCAACTGACCTATGTGGCAGATAGCTCCAAGCACCTGACACTAGTTTTCCCTTTGTGTTGCTTTTTAACTGTGCAGCTGTGAAACAAGATTCATTACTAACTGAAGTATTCACTCTCCATCATCCCAGATACTTAATGCCAAACTTTCCCACCTGAAGGCTTGATTTGTTGTATTAAAAACTGAGTTTCAGAAATGTAGCCAATAGGATAAAAATGGATGAATAAGGGGCGCCTGGGTGGCTCAGTTGGTTAAGCGATTGCCTTCGGCTCAGGTCATGATCCTGGAGTCCCGGGATCGAGTTCCGCATCGGGCTCCCTGCTCGGCGGGGGGTCTGCTTCTCCTTCTGACCCTCTTCCCTCTCGTGCTCTCTGTCTCTCATTCTCTCTCTCTCTCTCAAATAAATAAATAAAATCTTTAAAATAAAATAAAATAGGAATTTGCTTAAAAAATGGATGAATAAGAGACTGAGGCAAAGAGAAAATAAGAACATTAGAACTAAAGCTTGCTCACAAAGGTATGCCACAAGATTCTGTACAGTTGGTAGAGGTGGACTGTAGATTTGGCTCTGACCTTCCTAGAGTCTAAGCAAAGAAGGAAATAAATAGTCACAAGGTTCACAGTGTCCATAAGATGATATAAACTGGCTATTTAAGAGAAGCAGAGTTGTTTCTAGTGATCTGTTTTCAAAATGATTCTTTGGCTGTCAATAACCACTTTAAGAGGAGTGTTTATTCATTTCCCCAGACCATATCAAGGGAAGAAAGGAATTGATAAAATGGTGTATGTCATCATAGCTCCTGTTTTTAAACTTTTTTTTTTTTGTATTATTTCTCATCACATTTTGGTTTAGAGAAGCAGAGAGGAATTAGCCTTTTTTCAAAAACATGTCTGCGTAGTGCTTTCATGGTTTATGGTATTTTTTTAAAATATCCATTATCACATCTGGTTTGATGTTGGCAAAAATTGTGTGGGGGTAGTTGCAACAAGTATCATTCTTCTTATTTTATATAAGAAACACGGGGGACACCTGGGTGGCTCAGTCGGTTAAGCGTCCGACTCTTGATTTTGGCTCAGGTCGTGATCTTGGGGTTGTGAGCGGGGCTGGAGCCTGCTTGTGATTCTCTCTCTTCCTCTGCCCCACTCCCCCCTTCTCCATTTCTAAAAAAGAAAGAAAAGAAAAAGAAAAATGAGGGCTCAGAGCCCAAAGTCATGGAGCTAGGACTTGAGCCCAGAACTTATAGACCGAAAGCCCCAGCCTGCATCCTCCTCGTCATGTGAAGGTGAGGGATTCACAATGATTTCTGCCTCCTGTCCATGGAAGATACAAATCAGTCCTTGATTATAAACTTCAAAGCAGCTCTTGCTTATCACCCTCGTTCTCTGCAGTGCTTATCATAGTCGTTAGCTCCCTGAACAGCCCCCTCCTTGCTTTACTTGCAAATAAACTTTATTATAGTCTTTATTCCATCTGCTCACATTCTTACACAACCTGTTGGTTTTGTCATCCACTACATATACACAAAGGACACAAAATACTTGCCAAAGGCCTCTTTGAATGGTCTCCTTCTTAACCACCTTGTTCCCCTTGAGAATTAACTGTAGAGGAAGAAGTCAGGAAGTTTTAGAATGTATAAAATCACATGCTACTTTCTTTAACTCCTGTCATTTACAGATTAGGGTAATAAGTTACCCAATAAGACTTTCCCTCTGTTATCAGTACTCCCTTGAACTTCCGGCAGCCTTGGCCTCTTTGGGTTTCAAACTAACTTTGAGAAGACAAAGATCAGTCTGCCTTGCTTTAAAGAGAGATTTCATTACCCGCATTAAATCTTAGGCTGTGTGACCCCAGCTTTGTCTCAGAGAAGACTTTACACAAGTTCTAACCTCATGTGCCCTGTAGTGTCTCCCCATGTCCATTCCTTCTTGCCATAGCAGGAAGTCTCGTAGTGACCTGGGCACCTAGGTGGCTCAGTCATTAAGCGTCTGCCTTCGGCTCAGGTCATGGTCCCAGGGTCCTGGGATTGAGCCCCACATCGGGCTCCCTGCTCGGCGGGAAGTCTGCTTCTCCCTCTCCCACTCCCCCTGCCTGTGTTCCCTCTCTCGCTGTGTCTCCCTCTGTCAAATAAATAAATAAAATAAAATGTCTAACCAAACACTTGTCACATCTTTAAAAAAAAAAAGTCTCATAGTGAGCAGCACAAAAGAGGCCGAAGAGGAAGCTTCTAGTGTTTTTCTTTCTAGGGGCTTATCACCTTTTCTGACTTTCAGGGTAAATGATACCATCAGCTCTGAAACTATGTCAGATATCCTATGATATTTAAATCCATATGCATTTTCACCATGACTAACACCATTAAATCCAAATTTCCAAAGTATGTAAATTTTACATATCAGGCGCAAAACTAGGGGTCGGTTGTGGATGAAGGTATTCTAAAGCAGTTGTAAGCAGAGCCGTTTGGTAACTAGAGAGCCGTGTGAAACTGGCATGGAGAGGGACAAATGTGAAGTCCCAGGTTCAGAGAAGGGAGGAGAGAGACTGAGAAGTTTTCTGTTTTCTAGCCACCTCAATTCTGATACCTTGAATATCAAGCTTTTTTCTTATTAGGAATAAGTCTCTAGATCATTAAGCCTCTGAAACTCTAACTCATTAACATTCTAAAGTTCTAAACAGGTTATTTCAAGTGAATTCAGTCTAGTTTGTAAGTATACTAATATTTTGAATTAGACCGGTACCAGATGTATTCATCTTTAATGCTAGAAAAGCAATTTCCCCCAGGTCACATTTCAGATAAATACCATAAAAAGGCAAACATGACTTGTGTGGAATCTACTTAAGGCTAAATTTATTCCAGCTTTTCCTTATCAACATTGGTGGAATCCCAGCATACTTATTAGCCTTTTAATGTAAAAATCCCTAGTGTCATGGTGCTATGTGTGATTTTAGTTGGCCATCATTTAAACAGTGTTTTAAAAGAAGTGTTTTTCTTAGTGGTTTGTCTGAGACTGGCAAGGTGGAAACCAATATTTATTGAGCATGGGTGTTTTACATCTCTTCTTTTAATTCAAGTGAAAATTCCATGAGGCCATTATTATAGCCCATAATTCCTTAGCAAAAACTCTTGGAGGATTTCAGAAAGGCAACATAGCGCATTACCTCACACACCAAGCAGAGTCTAGGACAGCACTCTATAATGAGCCACAGATGAATAAAATGAGTTTGCTTGATATAGATGAGAAAATATTTATACACCGTGTTCAGAGTTTTCTGCATGCTTGAATCGTGGGTAAGATCACTGGGACCTGAGTTGTCTCCATCTTACGATGAGAAAGCTGGCTTAGAAGAATCAGGTAGCTTGGCAGAGGTCACAAAGTTAGCAAGCGGTGGAGGCAGGATGAGACCAGGGGGAGCTGTGCTGTGTGGCGTCCCGTGTGTGAGTGATGCTCTGTCTAGCATGTAGCTAATGCCCCGGTGATATTGGGACTCACAGGCCGAAATCTACAAGGTAGGAGGCAGTACACAAAGTTGCCAATTACAGTCATGATTTGTATTAGTACTAATGATCTGGGTGTTCTCTTTATTTCTTTTTAAAGTGTTTTGGTGACTCACACAGATGCGGTAAAGATTTCAGATTTTGGCACATCTAAGGAACTCAGTGACAAAAGTACCAAGATGTCCTTCGCCGGCACGGTTGCATGGATGGCACCAGAGGTGATACGGAATGAACCTGTCTCTGAAAAAGTCGATATATGGTGAGCGGTGCCATCGTCCCGACAAGAAAGCCTTTCCCACTTCACTGTATGAGTCCTTTCCTCCTCCAACACTTCTGCTTTCCCAAAGTATTCTTTAGTGTTACTCACTGCTGGTTGATTTCAGGCTCCTATTGTCTGAGGTACTACCCAGCGTCATGATGAATGTGGAGAGAAGGATTGGAAGGGGAATTAGGGTGAATGTCTATTTAGTAAATCATCAGTTTGGGAGACCTTCACAGAATATGCTGAACTTTCTGGAAAATGGGAAGTTTACTTCAAATAAGCATTTGGCATAAAAGTCTTCGGGAAATATGTTACCTAGTTCTTACCTTCTTAAATAAAATACATTAAACAAAGTTTACCTAGTCTTGGTGCCTCAGACCATCACTGAGTGTATCAGTGATGTACTTTGCTGTGATACGGTTATGTGCTTTAGAGCTATTTGAAGCGTATGATAGGGCTGTTTGCCCTTTTTGTAAACATCCCGTATGAGCAATGCTTTTTTATTTTTTGGCCTTTTAAAAATCTTTATCAGCTTTTCCTTTGAGATTACGAATCTTTACTATTAATAGTATATTTCCCTGTAGTCACTTTTCTCCCATCCTTAAAACCGGCTACTAATGACTTTTAGGCTTAAAACCAAAATAATAGCATGTGTTAAAATTACATGTAACACCAGAGTAAGTAAGATAAAGTGGAAATGTGGGATCATTTGTAATTTGGGTAATTATCACCAACATGTCCTCCTTTGGGATTATACCAATTACGTTCCCAACAGAAATGGATAAGTATTTTCTCAGTCTCACCAACAAAATGTGCTAACTTCCTGGATTTTTGCCAACCATCTAGGTAACACATGGTGTCTTGGGTGCAGCTTTAATGTGCATTCCCCTTCTTATAACTTATAAGTTAGGTTGTACGTTTTTTCATATATTTACAAACCATTGGTAATTTCTTATTTGTGAGCTATTCTGATCCTTTGCTAAGCTCTCTGATCTTGATTCTCATCAATTTATAAGAGTATTTTATATATTAAGGAGATTAGCCTTTTGTGTGTATGAATTATGGATACTTTTCACATTTTGTTATTTTGTTTATGGTGGAGTTCTTTCTCCATGCTAGGTTTTTTTTTTAAATGCAATTTAACTGATCAGTGTCTCCATTTGTGGCTTCTGGATTTCATAAATAGAAAGCTTTCACCACTCTAAGATTAGTAAAAAGAAAAAAAATTTCCCATGTATTCTTTCAGGGGTTTATGGTTTCATTTTTTCTTTTCACATTTGAATTTTTGATTCATTTGGAATGTATCTTGATGTAAGATGAGCGATAGATTTAATTTTACCCTCAGCTGTCCCAACAGCATTTACTGACTAGTCAGTGTTCCTGCACTGGTTTGGGATATCCCTTCTATCATATACTCAAGTCCTATATGTATTTGGCCTATTTATGGATTTCTGTTCCCTTCCATTAGTCTGGCTGTCTATTCACACACCAGAGTTAATTACCGAAGCCATATGATATGTCTTTTTTTTTTTAAAGATTTTATTTATTTATTTGCTAGAGAGAGAGAGCATAGGCGAGAGAGAGTGAGCGAGAGTACAAGCAGGGGGAGCTGCAGGCAGAGGGAGAAGCAGGCTCCCTGCTGAGCAAGGAGCCCGATGCGGGACTCGATCCCAGGACCCTGGGATCATGACCTGAGCTGAAAGCAGCCGCTTCCTTCACCCAGGCATCCCGCCTTATGATATGTCTTAATATTAAGCAGTGTTGATTATCCCTCACTGAGTTTCTTTTCCAGAGTTTTCCTGGCTGTTTCTGTTCTTCTTATGGCGGTATTAGAATTTTGAAACTGGGTATATATTTGATTAAACATGAATAAAGAACTAAAATACCAACCAGTCTTTCTGCACTGTCTTTGGTACCTGTTCCTGGTACTACTGTAGGTCTTTCGGAGTGGTGCTTTGGGAGCTGCTGACAGGAGAGATTCCTTACAAAGATGTAGACTCTTCGGCCATTATTTGGGGTGTTGGAAGCAATAGCCTACACCTTCCAGTTCCTTCCACTTGCCCTGATGGATTCAAAATCCTTATGAAACAGACGTGGTAAGAAATCTCTTTCTCCTAAGATTCTCTTTTAACTTCTTCCTCAAAACCACGTTTAAAATTTCTCTGAAACCACAGGGAAGTCTCCGATATGGATTTGGAGCAAATCACCTGGTTAAAGCCTGGCAGACTTGGAGTTATTGATAAATAAAGAACTTGGTATATCCTGAAACAGTAGGCCTTATTAAATGATAGCTATTATGACTTTACTAGTCCTAAGGGACTGTTATTATCAAACAGGCCACTGATCCTAGAGATTTCCATTTTATCATTACAGGTATCTCCTGATTACGTTTTCCTTTTGCTCTTCAGCATGTGCACAAGGCCTGAGATATAGCCATGCGTGGAGCCAAAAATGTTTTCGATAAAGTAGAATAAAATCTTTATCCTCCCGGACACAACCTCAGCAACGCACAAGCTGTCTTTTCTAACTTGTAGGCAGAGTAAACCTCGCAACCGGCCTTCTTTCCGGCAGACGCTCATGCATTTAGACATTGCCTCTGCAGACGTTCTTGCTACCCCACAAGAAACCTACTTCAAGTCTCAGGTAAGTCTGGAAGCTCTCCTCCGGTATACTGAACACGCAGCCGGGGAACTCGTGAAAAAGAGGAACGCTTAGAACCATTCTGATTCTTGTAGCAATTCTAGAGCTCTAGCTGGTGTGAAGCAATGGCTGGGACACCTCACACATGGGAAATTTTGGAGTTTTTTAAACACTTAAGATATATCATTATCTCATTTGAAAGGAACATGTGTCAGAATGTCATCCTCAGGGTAGTGAAATTGTTGAAGAGAAAAGAGAAATATACTTGAATTAGAATTACTGCTGACCAGGGCGCCTGGCTGGCTCAGTTGGAAGAGCATGAGACTCTTGATCTCGGGGTTGTGAGTTCAAGCCCCATGTTGGGTGTAGAGATTACTTAAATTAAAAAAAAAAAAAGACTTAAAAAAAAGTTACTGCCAACCTTCATAAAAGGGTTGCTTCCCTTGTTCCCTTGAAGGAGAAAAATCTAAAGTATGGTGGAGGGAAGTTAAGGACCAGAGAGCCCAGGATAGAATTAGGCCCAGAGAGAACATTTCCCCTAACTCTGTGTGTCACCTATTAGCACCAGGTAAAATATAATTTAATGTACCTGTTAGCCTTTACTGTCTTACAGACCATTCCAGACTTATGGCTTAAAATATTCAGATAAACTCCTTGAGAACTATTAACACTATTGCCTATCTATTCAAATACGTGTAAGTCTGGGGCACGGGAAAAGCAATCTGTCCAATCTCTGTGTTCGTGTTCAGAAAAAGACTTAGGCCCTTTTGTGAAATGAAAGAGAATAGTGAGTACTTTCTAGGGAATCTTTCAAACTTTAGGATTAGGTTGCAACTACAGCTTTGCTTCCTTTCCCATAAAAGTATGCACACCCCAGTTTGGAAAAGCAGTTTTTGGTGAGAGTACTAAGTCACAAGCCATTGAGACAGTATAACTGTGTACTTGGAAAACTTCAAACTGGAAACCGATTTTACTTGAATGCTCCCAGAATGTCACTCCTGAAGCCAGCGCCACATCTTCTGAGTGCCCACCGTGTGCAAAGCACTGCATAGTGCAGCTAAGTGCCCACATCCAGTACCCTCGTTTGTACAACTCACGTTTACCAATACGTGCGGCAGTAAGATTGAACTCAGAAAAGTTTCTTTTGCAGCAAGAATATGAAGTGGAGAGGAAGTGGAAGGAGAGGAAGGGGAAGACATTACACTGGGCATTTTTTAATATTAATTCTTCCATATGTTTCTCCCAACATAAAATTTTACCTCTCCTTAAATAGCCCCAAATCTGCTATGCGTGCCAGTTCCTAGGATTATTTCAGGTACTTACAAGCTGGTTTGTCTCTGGGTCTGAAATTCAGACCCTCTCTGGCTACTGATAAAGTTTTTATGAACTAGCTACTGAAGTACTAAGAAAAGCAACAGACGTGAGTCTACCCCTTGTCCTACGATCTTGGATAAGTCACTAAAATCTCTAAACCTCAGCGTACGCATCAAAAAAACCATGAAGATTATCGTGTCTTCTCTTCCTTATGGGGTTTTTAGCTAGGACCAAATGAGAAGATAAAAATGCAGCTGTATTGGAAACTAAAGAACTGCTCGATTGTAAGATGTTATTCACTGCCCGCGAAGCTACAGAAATGAAGCCTCCTTTGGGTTGTTACATTCTGGAGAACTCCTGAGATGGACAAGGTGGCAGCTGGGGGACTCCTCTCCACGGTGCTTTGACTCGATGCCACTCGGATGGGGACGGAGCTGACTATTTAGCACCTGGTTTTGCTAGTCTGCAGTCTCGTACCTGAGGCTTCCTCTCCCCCTGCCTGCTGACAGAGCCCGGTCCACATCCTGTCCGTGGTTGGAAGCCACGGGTCTCTACTTTCCACCAAAACTGTTGTCAGGAGTACTGCCAGGAGCCCAGCTGACTCCTTCCGCTGTTTCTCAGCTTCTATAGCACAGATGAACACAGCAGCCGATTCCACTACAGTATTCCATTCTGCCAAAGCTGCTTCTCATTCCTACACAGTAACCTATTTCTCCTGGTATTCAACTGCATTTGCTATCAGTCTTTTTCTTTCTTTTTTTTTGTGAGCTCTACACCCAATATGGAGCTTGAACTCACAACCCTGGATCGAGAGCCGCATGCTGTGCTGACCGAGCCAGCCAGGCACCCCAGCACTGGATATCAGTTGTTAGAAAACATTTCCGTGGGGTCCCAGATCCCCATTGCTAGGTGGGCCTTGTGCCCTGCTTCTAAGCCCTTCCCCCACACTCTGCTTTGCACCAGTCTGGTTCCCTTTTGAGTACCACTGCGACCACCCAGAAATTCAGAGGCTGGGAATTGCAGACACACAAAGTTCATTATAGGGACAAACTGTACTCCTTAAAAGTAATCTCATCATGGGGCCCCTGGCTGGCTCAGTTGGAAGGGCATACAACTCTTGAACTCGGGGTCATGAGTTTGAGCCCCACATGGGGTAGAGAGATTACTTAAATACATTTTTAAAACTTAAAAAAAAAAAAAAAAAAACAATTTCATCATGAGCAAGTAGGTCCTTAGGTAGAGGCTGGGCACTCACCCGGGAAGGGAGTAAAGAGGATTCCTGTGCCAGTCAAGAGTTGGACTTGATGACCTCTTGAATCTTTTCTGACTCAGAATCTCTGATTTCCTGCTACTTAGTCCCACAACATCCTGCTTCTCTATTCCTCCAGCTAGGCTTGAACTGGCTCCACTTCTTTTTTTCTTTTTAAAAAATTGCGGTAAAAATAATGCAAAATTTTCCATTTTAACCATTTTGAAGTATACAGTTCAGTGACGTTAATTAAATTGACAACATTGTGAAACTGTCACCACTATTTCCAAAAGTTTTCATCACCCCATTAAGCAGTCATTTCCCATTCCCTCCTCCCCTTGGCCCCTGGTAATCTCTGTTCTACTTTCTGTCTCTCTGAATTTACCTGTTCAATCTACTGATTGAATAACTGGAAGGCTGGAGAAGACGAAAACCTTTTAAATGGGATGGCCTTTCCCAGGCCTTATCTAGGACATGAAAAGGATCCCACTAATGGTAAAAACCCAAGTTTCACTGGATTTTTCCCTTACCTGCTTCCCCGGGACTTGAATACCTTGTGAAGCACCCCCTACTCCCTCCCTTGACCCCTTCACATGCATTTGGAGGGAATCCCCAGTGAAGAGTGGGGATCTCAGTAACCTCATAGTAACATCTGCTCTGCTTCTCACTGACTGGCCTGACACAGCAGTCTCCTGCTGGTGTCTGCGAGGTATTACCTTGTGGGTTAGCTCTGTTTTCTGCTACAAGACCATAGGCCCAGGGCGCCTGGGTGGCTCAGTTGGTTAAGCGACTGCTTTCGGCTCACGTCATGATCCTGGAGTCCCAGGATCGAGTCCCGCATCGGGCTCCCTGCTCAGCAGGGAGTCTCCTTCTCCCTCTGACCCTCCTCCCTCTCATGCTCTCTGTCTCTCATTCTCTCTCTCTCAAATAAATAAATAAAATCTTAAAAAAAAAAAGATTCAAAAAAAAGACCATAGGCCCAGCTGGCATCCATTGGATGCCGCCATATCCCAAGGCACTGCCTCACCCATCAAGAGCTGCCATTTCCTCCTGTAACTAAAGCTCTGGACTCCTCAAGATTCCAAAGCTGCACATTGTTCTATTTACACAATGGACTCTTCCAATTTCGCTGTTGAGTTGCACTTGGTTAAAGGTAACAGAACAGTGCTGGTTATGGCCCAGTGTTTTACAGATATTTTAATGAAACACTGGGAAATGCTCCTCCACTCCTATGATGGTGGCTTTGTTACAGGTCAGGTTCATGCAGGATTTCTCCTTTCTCTTGTGCCACATTTTCTCTCAGAGGCACCTCAGTCTCTGTGCAAACTGGCTTCCGGCCTACCCACCTTCCATTTCTTCAGATATGCCCAGACATGTCTGAACTGAAGATTAAGTACAAATTGGGGCTCCTATTATGTAAAGATTCTAAGCATGATGGAACTCCAAAATTGACCTCTTCCAGTAACACCATAGCTTTGGGGGAAATACATTATGAATCAGGACCTGGGGTTTTCCCCACACATCCTGTTCCCTCTTCATGGTGGTGGTGGGGGGGACTTCTTTTTGAAAATCTACTTTTTTAATAGGTTTCAATATTCAGTCTTCAAAAGGTTCTCTTTATTTCCATTCCCATAAACTAGATATTAGGAGGTTTATTTCCTCGAGATTTTCAAGAATTAAAAAAAAAAAAAAAAAATCTGTTCTGTGACCGCTGATTCCCGACCACCAGAGGGAGATATTCCTTTTCCTGGTCCTTTCTTTAGGTATTGTACTGGTGTCTACAGATATGCTTTTGCATAAAAGAGGACACTTTAAGGCCCAAACCTGGCCCTCTCCCCTACCTTTTTTTGGTCTAACAACTCTTGATTGTCAGTCTTAGGCTTCTTAAAGCTCAGGTATTCTTCCTTCAGACTTTGATCTGATGATTGCAAGAACAGCATTACTGGAGGCTCAACCAAACTTGCATTCATTGCTTAATACTGTCAAAGACTGTTACCAAACAATGGGCAGCGCATTCTGGATCTGAGTTTCTGATGACCTTCACTTTCTGATGACCTTTACTTTCTGATGACCTTTACTTTCTGACGACCTTTACTTTCTTTTTTTTTTTTTTTTTTTTTCAAAGGGTGATGCAAAAATAGTTTATTATGACCTTTACTTTCTGATGACGTTGTTTGGCAGGTTTGGTCCCAAAAGTCAACTGACTGACAGAAATCTTTCTCCAATGGTCAGTCAATATATATATATATATATATATATATATATATATATATATATATATATATATATATATGAAGATCTAGCATATTATAAGCAGATAAGCAGGATGATGACTTTCTAAATAATTACAATATAATTTCCTTTATAAAAGTAAATGAGAGGGGTGCCTGGGTGGCTCCGTTGGTTAGGCGTCTGCCTTCGGCTCAGGTCTTGATCCCAGGGTCCTGGGATCCAGCCCCACGTCAGGCTCCCTGCTCAGCAGGGAGTCTGCTTCTCCCTCTCCCTTCTACTCCCCCTGCTTATGCTCTCTCTCTCTCTGTCAAAAAATAAATAAAATCCTAAAAAAAAAAAAGTAAATGATAAACAGCAAATTTGGGGAGAAACCTTCTGTAATTTCACAATTACTTAAGCATGACTTCTTCCATGATCTAGAGAAATCATTTTAAACATGAATCTCAAGGTAATAGAATAGCTCCAGAGGAAGAATATTTAGAGGCATTTAGTTATACATTTAGCCTTTACTGGAAATTATCTTAATCTCATTAGCTTCTTGTGATTGTAATTTATATGTAATTTGAGGAGACTTCTCCTTTAGCTGTTTTCTAGAAACTGTCTGTAGACTATATTCCAGCAGAGGTTTTTCTAACCCCTAAAATTTAGATAAAATTGGCTTGGAATTCCATGCCTTGTGGAAATCCCAGTGTCCTAACATAGTCTGTGAATTCCTGGGAGATTTATAATTTCATGGTCACTCTCACTCTGCCTTCCTAAAATTTTTGGGCCCCATCCCTGCCATTTTGTGGTTGTTCCTTTATCTTTATCCTGTCATTGACCCAAACATGAAGTTCAGCACCTTTTCTTGATGTCTAAAAAAAACAAAACACTCATCCAAAGTCAAGGTGAATGTCAGAGACTTTACTAAAGTTTTTGGAAATTGGAAGAGGCTTACATTTTGAATAGCTGAAATCACATATTTGGTATTCATCCCCATTCTAAAAATTTTGTCGAACTACTACATTGTTTAGCCATACCTTTTCTCCTCCTCTTTCTCTTTTCCTGTTCTTTCCCTCACTCCCCAATTCCTGTAGAAGTCCCTACGTTTTTATTCCCGAGTCCTGCTGTTCATGCCCTGTGTTTCTACTCCAAATATTTTCTCAAGATATTTTCTTTTTTTCTTTTTAAGATTTTATTTATTCATGAGACACAGAGAGAGAAAGGCAGGCAGAGGTAGAGGGAAAGGCAGACTCCCCGCAGAGCAGGGAGCCTGATGTGGGGCTCGATCCCAGGACCCCGGGATCATGACCTGAGCCAAAGGCAGATGCTTAACCGACTGAGCCACCAGGCACCCCAAGATATTTTCATAAACAAAACCTAAGAGAAATTCTGGTGCCAATTAAACACGATCATATTCTCACTGGCACGTACTTATACCAGATGGTGAGAAGAGCTCTCTTTTTGGCCAGGCCATCTCAGCCATCATCTTCACTTAAAACTGAGCTCTCTTGTTCCAGAGGTGATGGCCAGTATGCCGGCTGTGATATTTCTGGTGGCCAGTATGGCAAGGAAACTGGAAAAGAGATGACATCCCATGTTGGACTAAATACAGAGAATGAGGTCATGGTGTGGGGGGGGGGGTGCAGATACAGGGGCATGAGCTATTTTGCTATCAACTGATATTTACTGAACGTTTATTCTGTAAGGCTCTTCAGTAAAAACATGTAGGGGAATACCATCCTGCACCTGACCCTATGGTTTTATCAGGGGCTGAAACTCCTCGAGTACTAACAAATTCTATTTTGTCCTCACCCAGGCTGAATGGAGAGAAGAGGTGAAAAAACACTTTGAGAAGATCAAAAGTGAGGGAACTTGTATACACCGATTAGATGAAGAACTGATTCGGAGGCGCAGAGAAGAGCTCAGGTGGGCTGCTCTCTCCTCCACCTCGTCTCATCCCTAGATCTGCAGATACTGGCAGGAACTCTCTTTGTGAATCACCATTTTACCTTCTACACACCTTTCACCTCTGCTACTTCCTGTTAATTCTCTTTAAAAGTTGCCCCCAAAGTGAGCCCTCCTTTGTCCCACTGTCCCATCCACTCCCTGTAACTTTGTTATCCTCCTTTAATATATCTCTGCAGCCAGCCCTCCTGGAGCTATGCTCTTTCTTCACTCAGTGCCTGTCCTAGGTGATGTGGAAGGCAGCGCTTTATAAGATGTAGTTCCTGGTCTCAAGATGCTTATGACTGATTGAGGGGTACAAAATGTAGCCATAGGTAACCATCGTATTAGGCAGGATCTGTGCCATAGATAAGTACGGGGCCAGGGGGTCAGCCTTAATTGCATGTTTCCATGAACATGAATATATTATACTGTATTCTTATTAAGGTGTTGTCAATGCTACACAGACAAAGTCTACACATTATGCACAAATCACAGTCTGATTTTTATCTGTGCCTCCCTCTGGCTATTCTGTATGGCTGGATGTGGCTCCTAAGGATAAACCAAGGGAAAGCTTGGTTTCCCATCTCCCACTCCATCTTGTCCGAGTCATTACATCAGACAAGGGATCCTTAAATTTAGACAGCCCTCAGACAAATGCTTTTTTTTTTTTTAAGATTTTATTTATTTATTCATAAGAGATAGAGAGAGGCAGAGGCAGAGGGAGAAGCAGACTCCCCGCGGAGCAGGGAGCCTGATGCGGGACTCGATCCCAGGACCCTGGGATCATGACCTGAGCTGAAGGCAGACGCTTAACCGACTGAGCCACCCAGGCATCCCCAGACAAATGCTTTTGAGAGAAACCATCCTGGTTCTTATTTCATTAGAACTGTTCTTTGTTCTCCCCCAGGGTAGTCAGCTTCGCTGATCCTCTCTTTTCTTTGATAGGCATGCTCTGGATATTCGTGAACACTATGAGAGAAAACTTGAGCGGGCTAATAATTTATACATGGAACTGAGTGCTATCATGCTGCAGCTAGAAATGCGGGAGAAGGAGCTCATTAAGTATGTATCCAGACTTCTGTCTGTTGTTCCTGAGTCGGGTCTATCAATCAGCCCAAATACTGTTCCACCATGTTGCTACTACTCAAACCTAAAATGGCAGATACTTTATTCATTCACCCAGCATTCCTTAAGGGATGTGCTGTGCCCAGGTCCCTTCCTCGGTGAAGTTTCAGTTGGGTGGAGTTACTGTAGAGTTTGTTATAGAGGAATGAGCATTTGACCGACATTTGCAACTTCACCCTGCCAAAGGGCTCCAGGAAGGGAGTCCTCATCTCAAGAAATCTCAAGAAGAGCTTGGTGTGGATGAGGGGGAGCCTTTTGCCCCCTGGGGAAATAAGGTGGCTGAGGAAAGTGGTTTAAGGGATTCTTGACAATGACAGGAGACCCCGGTCGGTGGTCCCAACCAAAACAATAACTGAAACTAAGTAGATCTTCTACTGTGTCTCTCATGAGGTATGTTGGGGGAGGGAAGGTCAGCCCCTGAGTGCACCAGAGAGTGGAAGAGCACAGTGAAGTCAGATTAGTTGAATTGAGCATCTTTTTTTTTTCCTTTTAACCTGAATTGTAGTGTTGTTATTCAAATAGTGTGTATCTGTTAAGGGTGACCAGAATCTGTGAGTGGAATTAGCCTGTGAAAACTTCCTGCCCATCTTTTCTGTCTGCAGTGACTGAGCTGTGGCTCTTCCTTTCATTCCGCAGGCGTGAGCAAGCAGTGGAAAAGAAGTATCCTGGAACCTACAAACGACACCCCGTCCGTCCAATAATCCACCCCAATGCCATGGAGAAACTCATGAAGAGGAAAGGCACACCTCATAAATCAGGGATGCAGACCAAACGGTGAGACATCTGTGCCAACCTGACATTCAGAGAAATGGGAAAATATCCCCCAAAATACATTATCCCGTGATGGTGTGTCCACTCTGTAGCTCATCACGGGCACCCTTGCCTCTAGATAAAACAGCGTAGGAAAGTGAGAGGATGTGTCATGAACTCTAGGAATCTAGTTTTTACTCTCTGAGACGTACATATTTATTGTCTTAGCATGGCATAGGGAAAAGAGAAATAAACTGAGGGCCAGGCAGACGTGGATTCAAATCCCAGCTCTGCCTATTATTACAAGCTGTATGATGTGGGCCATGTCACTTGACCTCTTTCAGCCCCATGGGTAAAATGGCATAATGATCACACATGAGATTTCTTTTTCTCCTTTTGACTCCTAGTGCACAGAATTGGGTGAATCATAATTCTTGTTTTATGCGACATTGATCCACGTGTGTCCCACTTTTCCTTACTCATTTAGTTAGTTCTTTTTAATAATGTAATAAGTGCCTGTAAATCCACTGCCAAAAAACAAAAGCAGGGGCTTTGATAATTACCTGTACCTAACCATGTAGGGCCCCTCATTGTATTCCTGCATGGGATTTCTGCGAAGTTTAAATAAGAGAAATGTGAAATCACCTTACAAATCACAGGTGTTAAAAAATGAGTTTTTGAATAGTTAAAAAAAAAAAAAAAGGAAGATTGCCCTTTCCTTTACAATGCATTTTCCTTATACTAGTTTAATATTAGAATGCTCTTCCAGTCAGTTTTTATTACCAGGCTCTACTAGATGCCCATTCCTCCCAAATAGTGGAGAGTGGATTCTATTCTATCCAAGTTAATGTAAAGGAAAGAAATGTCCCTAAAACCTGGGGTGTAGACCCAATGGTCTACTGCAAAATGCAGTAAGAATAAAGGTAATGACAAAATGCAAACAAAGAATGTATTTTAAGGCTTCCAGAATGGCAGCCATACTACCATAGCATGACTGATATAAATCTAAACTACTAAAGAGTAATTACATGGATTAATTCCAGTTTTGCTTTTACTTCCCACCCCTGATCACCTTCTAGTTAAGTTCTGAGAAATTGCAGATGGCACCTGGCAAAACCCTCTGAGGATCCCAACACCTCTTTCTTCTAATGTCTTAATTGGAGACTGAGTTCACCTGCTTGCTCCTCTCTGCATTCTGCTACAGTTAAAACTAAGAGCTTTGGAGGAGAAAATAGTACTGTTTCATTTTTCAAAATGTGAGCTCATGTTGACTTTTACTGTTGGCTGTGAGGAATATGTTTGGGAGAGTTTGCCATCACCAGCAGATGCTTAGTGGACAAGCTGACTGAACTCATGCAGGAAGACAACCTGGAATGGGTCTTTGAGCTGCAAAGAGTTCTGCTCTCAGTTGATTGGCCCCTGGAGGATGTCAGTTACAGATTATTTGGACAGTCCAGTGATTAAGTCAGAAGTCCAGTGACCTGGGAGGAGATCAGAGAGGGAAAACCATCCACCATCCTTTGGCCTAGGTGTAAATGTGGGTTCAGCTGGGGACTAAAAAGAAGAGAATCAGACTCAATTATGGATCCACAAAGCCTGTTACAAGTGAGTGTAATCTAATACAATGGTCTAAATACTCATAATAAGGAGAGGCTTGGAATGGGGCCAGAACTATTCCTTAATGTCAAAAGACTTGAGTGCCAATTAGGAGTTCTGCCGTTTACTTCCTTTGTGATGGACACAAGCCAATTAACCTCTCGGATCCCTCAGTGCCTTTATCTGTAAAATGAATATTGGAAAAATGAATAGTAGGAAATGAGTGTTTTATATACTGTAAAGTGCTTTGTCAACTGTGAAGTGCTGTATCATTGTTATTCTGTGATTTTTGCACTGCCAGGTTCAATAAAAGCAGCCTTCACCTGACTTAGGACACTTTCACCGCAACCCTCTTCTAGATCCCACCATAGCTAGTCGCTGTGAAAGTAGATGCCCCTAACTGGGCCTCAGAGGGCTCTCTTGCCTCAATCAAAGCCCCAGGACCTCCTCCGTCCACAGACTTCCTGTGGCACAAGGTGGCCAGCTGACCACAGAACTGTGAACCTGAGACAGGAAGATGCTCGCAGCAGCATAATCCTCTGCCCACCTCGTCATATACCAGATTTACCTGGGACTTCTGTGCTAAGACAAGCCTTTAACTGTTCTCCCAAAAAAAGAAGGAAAACACATCTCCTACAGCCTGATGCTGGCTCATTTCCTATTCACATGTGGTCCTCATTTCAGCATCACGTGAGAGTGTGTTAGAAATGCAGACTCTTGGGCCCCATCTTAGACCTGACGGACTCAACCATTTTAATAAGCCCCGAGGGCTTTGTCGGCACCTTTAACCTTGTCCTCTGAATCTCCAATAAGCCAGTCTGGGGATTAGGAGAGACTTCTTGTCTGGATTCTGCTGGTAATGCACTGTGAGACCATGAGCCACCTTGGGTTTCGGTTTCCTCATCACATAAGATAGAGGTGGGACTGTATCTTGGTTTTCAAGCAAGGTCTGGGACACCCTAGGGCTTGCAGAGAGATGTCAGGGATTATTGCAGAAGTCGAGAGGACAAGGACGGGGAGCCCAGCAAGGCGGGACTTCTGCTCTCCCCACCCCAAACTGTCCCACTATATCTGGGGCAGGGGCAGAGGGGGGACCGTGAGATATAATTGACAAATTATATTTGGGGTGTACAACATAACCACTCAATATACATATATATTATGAAACAATTACCACGATAAGTCTAGTTAACATCCATTCATCACCACAAATAGTTATATATATTTTTTCTTGTGATAAGAACTTTTGAGATGTCTTAGAGACGTTCAGATATACCATGCGGTACAGCTGACTCTTGAACAACACAGGTTTGAGCTTCACAGTTCCACTGACATGTGAATTTTTTGCAATACAGTACCATAAATGTATTTTCTCAACATTTCCTTTTCTCTAGCTTACTTTAAGAATACAGAATATAATACATATAATATACAAAATATGTATTAATCGACTGTTTATGTTACCAATAAGGCAGCTGGTCAACAGTAGGCTATTTTTAAGTTTTTTTAGAGTCAAAAGTTATACCTGGATTTTTGACCAAGATTATACTTGGTCCAAGTATAATCCAAGTTATACTTGGATTTTTTATCCAAGGGGCAACTGTACTATTAGCTATAGTCTCCAGGCTGTACATTACATCCCTGGACTTAGATATAACCGGAAGTTTATACCTTTTGACCCTCTTCCTTCATTTCACCCATTCCCCCACCCCCCACTTCTGGCAACCACCGATCTGTTCTCTTACTATATCTATTTTATATACTGAGTTTCTCATAATTCATTTGAGAAAGGCATCTGTTGTTAAAAAAAAAAAAAAGGGCGCCTGGGTGGCTCAGTCGTTAAGCGTCTGCCTTCGGCTCAGGTCATGATCTCAGGGTCCTGGGATCGAGCCCCGCATCGGGCTCCCTGCTCAGCGGGAAGCCTGCTTCTCCCTCTCCCACTCCCCCTGCTTGTGTTCCTTCTCTCACTGTGTCTCTCTCTGTCAAATAAATAAAATCTTAAAAAAAAAAAAAAAAGTCTGGGTCCTTCAGCTCTGTAATCTGAAGATTCGTGTCTGTTTGGTTCCAAAGAAGGAAGGCAGTAGTGGTGCTCTCTGGTGTCCTCGAGTCTCCGCCTGTACCAGTCCCTCGGTTCAAAAGCCATTTATTGTTTGCCTGTGCACCCTGAAATCAGTGTGTGCTCTGGCTCGCTCTTGCACATGATCTGCATGGCCAGCCCAGGGAGCCCTCGACAGCAGGACTAGGAGAGGAGACAGGACCATGCCAGACCACTCCTCACAAGCCCTTCTCTTGATGGCTCTGTCCAACCTCCTAGGCTCTGTACTGTTTCCCTCTCCTCAGTCCCCACCCCATTTCCCCACTTCCTTAAACATGGTTGAGTACTGAGTGTGAGCAAGGCTCCCTGCTAGTGTCCTTCCCATACACAGATGGATGGACAGAGTCCCAGACCTCAAGCAGACCATGTCTAGACCAAAGTCCCTGAATTTGGCCTCTTGCCTAATGAACCTGAGGTTTCCTTCTCTTGTGCCAGATCCCTGTGATTTGTGATCTTCTGTGGGATCCCTCTAGATCCATCATCAGACAGATTCCTGATCGTGGGCAAACCTTTGCCTCTGCCTTGGCATGTTGGCACCAGGCTGATAGCTGAGGTTATAAGGAAGAGATCGAGAAACCTGTAGGGTAGAATTAGACTGTAAAGGGGATTGGGTACCTCAGCTAATGAGGCACAGAATAAAATCCAGAAGGAATGAAGGAACTATAGGTGGACATCTAGGTTGTTTCTAATTTTCTGCTATTTTAAACTATAGTATATAACATAACGTCTTGGAAACACACATCTTCATGCGCATCTGTCATCTCCGTCGGATAAATCTCTGCATACGTGCCTCGTGTTTCAAGGGGTGTGTGTATTTTAAGGTTTGGGTTACCTTTCCCCCAACTTGAATGTGTTTTCATCTGTTTAAAACGAAATCTTTCCTTCCCTCCCAGGCCAGATCTGCTGAGATCTGAAGGTATCCCCAGTGTGGAGGTGGTTCCCGCTGCTTCCCCTTTGTCCGGAAGTCCCAAAATGTCCACCTCAAGCAGCAAGAGCCGCTATCGGAGCAAACCACGCCACCGCCGAGGGAATAGCAGAGGCAGCCATGGTGACTTCGCAGGGATCTTGAAAAACCAGCCAGCGCAGGAAAATTCACCGCATCCCACTTATCTACACCACGCTCCGTCCCAGTACCCTTCTCCCCATCACCATCATCCTCCACAGCGGCAGTACCAGCAAGCCCCTCCTGCCGTGTCTCAGAGTCACCATCCCAGACTCAATATGCACGGACAGGACATTGCGACCTGCGCCAACAACCTGAGATATTTTGGCCCAGCAGCAGCCCTGCGGAGCCCACTCAGCAACCATGCTCAAAGACAGATGCCTGGCTCCAGCCCTGATCTCATCTCCACGGCCATGGCAGCAGATTGCTGGAGAAGCTCTGAGCCCGACGAGGGCCCAGCCAGCCCCTGGGGCTGTTGTCAGGCTGAGCCTTATGAGCCCTGCCTCCAGTGCAGGCCAGAACAGTGTGGGTCCCTAGACATACCCTCTGCTGAGCCAGTGGGGAGGAGCCCTGACCTTTTCAAGTCACCAGCACAAAATCCCCTCTCGGAAGATGCCCAAGGTTCCGAGGAAATGGAAGAAAATGAATTCAAAGGCTGTAGGTCTGCGTCATCCCTTGGCATCCCTCATCACATCACCCCCCCAATGCTACCTCGAAACACAAGGCCCCTGCAAAAGGTAAGCTGTAATGACAGCCTCAGCACGGGATGTCAGAGCCCGTCATGTTGTGCGTGTTAGAAAACCTGCATCGTGCGTCTATTTTGTAAAAGGAAGAGATGATGAAAGCATGAACAGAGGTTTCTTTGACTTTCAATAATCTCTTGCCCCACTGCTTAAGGGATAGATTAGAGACTGTGCTTTAGGAACTACTGAATCAGAGGACCGATTCAAATGTATCTAATTTAGAAATAGATAAATAACCATATACTAAGGATATGTAATCAAAACTAGAACTACCCTAGCCTAGTCCTGATGGATGTTGTAAGAAGGAAGGATCCCATTATAAAACAAGTTTGAAAAACATAGTATTCTCTGTCCCCTCTTGGAGATTCCTAGTGCACATCGACAAATCCTAGGCTTTAAAAAATCATATGGTTCCTTGTTTAATCCAGCATTTCCCTCACCTATTTGGCCGCAATGGCTTTAAAAATAACATCTATTAATATCCCATGGAATTAGCTTTCTTCACAATGTATTTTGGATGGGTGCCTGGCTGGCTCACTCGGCAGAGCATGTGACTCTCGAGCTTGGGGTCATGAGTTCAAGCCCCACGTTGGGTGTGGAGCTTACTTAAGAAAAAATAAAAGATTTTTAAAAACCAATATATTTTGGAAAACACTGCCTTTATGAATAACCATCATGACCCAGTGAGGTCTCGACCACTGAAACCTGTTCCTCTCCTCCTCACCCACTGGCTGCCTAGGGTTTATGAGCTTGGAGGCAATCTGCCATAGTGAACCTGGCAGCCAGAGAGATCTGAGTTCAAAGCAAGGCTCTTCCACTTAGAATCTCTGAACATTGGTGTCCTTGTCTATAAATGGGGCGCATAGTGGACCCTGCCTCATTGGTTGATGTGAAGATTAAGTGAGTTAATACATATAAAGCACTTAGAAGAGGACCTGGCATGTAACAACCTTCCAAAAATGTTAGCTCATCTTGCTAATGAGTTAAAAATAAGATTATGTATGAAAAGTGTTTAGTACAGCGCAAACACCCACTCAGTTCTCAGCATTGCTTCATCTCGTCAGCATTCATCAGGAGTGCAGTTGAAGGAATGAAAGGGTCTAAAATGTAAATTAGTATGTTTCAGTCAACTAGACATTTAAAAGAAGTTGACGTACCTGTCAGGATGGCTAGAATCAAAAAGACAAGAAATAACAAGTTGGAGAGGATGTGGAGAAAAGGGAACTCCTGTGCACTGTTGGTGGGAATGCAAACTGGTGCAGCCACTGTGGAAAACAGTATGGAGATTCCACAAAAAATTAAAAATAGAAATACCATGTGATCCAGTAATTTCACTTCTGGGTATTTACCCAAAGAAAACAAAATAACTAATTAGGAAAAATATATGCACCTCTGTGTTTATTACAGTATTGTTTACAATGGCCAAGATATGGAAATAACCATCAATGGATGAATGGATAAAGAAGATGTGGGGTGTGTGTGTGTGTGTGTGTGTGTATACATACATTCATATATATATACAATGGGATATACTCATCCATAAAAAAGAATGAAATCTTGTCATTCGTGACAACATGGATGGACCTATAGGGTATTATGCTAAGCAAAGTAAGAAAAAGACCAGTACCATATCATTCACTTACAGGTGGAATCTAAAAAAAACAAAACAAATGAACAAACACAAAGACCCAGAAATTGATTCATAAATATGAAAAATAGATTAGTAGTTGCCAAAGGGGAGGAGGGTGGGGGAATGGGTGAAATAGGTAAAGGGGATTAAGAGGTTCAAACTCCCAGTTACAAAATAACTCACAAGGGGTGAAGAGTAAAGCATAGGGAATATAGTCAATAATGTTGTAATAACTGTGTAAGGTAACAGATGATAACTGTATTTATTTTGGCAAGCAGAGAATTATACAATTGTTGAATCACTACGTTACACACCTGAAACTAATATAATACTGTAAATCAACTACAATTAAAAAAAAGAAGTTGAGGCTCAGAGCTACTGTCTCAGAACTGTATTTCTTCCCCCACATACAGTGCTGTTGCTGACAAAGCATTCCCAGAGATTAAATTGTGTTTTGGGTGGTGAATTTGGGTTAATCTGTTCTCTGCTCCCCCACCCCTATATGGCCAGTAACGTGTATTTTTTTGGTAACAACTTTATTGAGATGTAACTCACGTATCATAAAGTTCTCCCATTAAATGTACCACTCAGTTCTTTTATTCACAGTTACGCAGTCATCACCAATTTTAGAATATTTTCATCATCCTAAAAAGAAACCCTGTACCCTTTAGCAGTTATCCCAGTCCGCTCTCGAGTAACATGTATCTTTGAACCATTCTGATGCCATTTTGATGTCTGTGGGCTGGCAGGCCAGGGAGCACACACCCTATACATTTGGCCTCATTGGAAAAGTACTCCCACAAGGCAATTCAACTTCTCTTGACCGAGATCCACTTCCACGGTGCCTTGGGTAAATGTTCATCTTGGCAGTCAATATAACCCCATGCCTGTCCTTTCTACTCAAAGAAGCATATCAGAATACAAATGGATAAGAGTGATGGTATATTAAAACTGACTTTAAAAGTAAATCATCCTCAACCTTTGGTATAATTACTTGGACCCAGTTACCCACCTCACAACGGATGGTACTAATCCAGTGCATCATGATTCTATGGGTAAGGACAGTTGATTTTTTTTTTTTTTAAGATTTTATTTATTTATTTGACAGAGAGAGAGATAGCGAGAGCAGGAACACAAGCAGGGGGAGTGGGAGAGGGAGAAGTGGGCTTCCTGCCAGGCAGGGAGCCCGACGTGGGGCTCGATCCCAGGACACTGGGATCATGACCTGAGCCGAAGGCAGACGCTTAACGACTGAGCCACCCAGGTGCCCCAGGACAGTTGATTTTAAGTTTAGCTTTTCTTATGTTCTTGAAGAGAGATGGACTCTTCCCTGTGAAGGAAAATCATCTTCTCAGACAAGACACTTATCCAGCCTTCCAGATCAACCACAGAGCCCTGGCAATCCCAAGGCCTCAGATGTCCCAACCAGAGCTCCCCCATCCTTACCAACATGCTGACTCCATAATGCACTATGCACCTGTTTTGTATTCATGGTGAAATGAGAAATACGGTACAAGATATGGTTTCACCCTCAAATAATGTATGCCTTAGCAGTGCAAATGAGCATAGTAACTATAATATTAATGAAAAGGTGATTGGTACATAGAAGGGAAAAAGTAGTTGTTGGGTTTTGAAGAACTGAAAGATCACTTCTTGGTGGAGTCCCTATGTCAGGGCCTGGAACCATGAATGACAATGATTACAAGAGACTGCCCCCAAATCCAAGACCTTCTCTCTAGTTTCCCCTCCCCATCACTCACCTTGGATAGTCTCATGGAGTCCTTACCTACTGGAGGGCAAAACTCATTTACTCGGTTCTGTGTGTCTTCCAGCATCTAGGACAGACCCTGTCCTCATGGACACCGAGGAAAGGTTGCTGAATGAAAGTATATATGTTCATTTTTTTTAAGATTTTATTTGAGAGAGAGAGCACAATCAGGGGGAGTGGCAGGTAGAGGGAGAAGCAGACTCCCCGCTGAGCAGGGAGCCCAATATGGGGCTCGATCCCAGGACCCTGGGATCATGACCTGAGCTGAAGGCAGATGCTTAACTGACTGAGCCACCCAGGTTCCCCTGAAAATATATATGTTTAAAGATGACACTCAGCAAACTGCTATTCAGTGCCTTCTGATTATAATTAAATCTTTTACAAGGAGTGTGTGTGAGAGAGAAAGAGAGAGAGAGAGAAAGAGAGACAGATTGAGATAAAACTCTTTCTCCTTGTTCTCCTCAGAGTGGAGATGACTCCTCTGAAGAGGAAGAAGGGGAAGTAGATAGTGAAGTTGAATTTCCACGAAGACAGAGGTAAAACCAACAAACACATGTACTGCTTTCCGGGTAATGGGGAAAATCCTGAGTTTGGCATACCTTCTGTTCAGTCATAGGTCACCTTCGAACAACCACCTTATCGGGAGATTCGAATTCACCATTCCTGTTTTCCCATTGCCACATTTTGGCCGCTCACTATGCATGGTGGATCCTAGTTCATCAGAATTCATTTCTTAGGAACTTCAAGATAAGGAACATAAATTCGAATTCAGGGTTACAACTGAGAATGGAGTGGGCATTTTATGAGAGATGGCCATGCTGTTTTGTGGATAATTTGATGAGTTTCTGGTGTACCTTCCTGTATTAGTCTCTGGCTGCTCTAATAAAATACCACAGGCTGGTGGCTTAAATAATGGGAATTTATCTTTCACAGTTCTGGAGGCTGGGAAGTCCAAGATCGGGGTTCCTAGTGAGGACTCTCTTCCTAGCTTGCAGACAGCAGCCTTCTTGCTGTGTCCTTACAGGGCTGGTGTGGGGGGAGAGGGGTGGTATGGAAGAGAGGGGTGTGGAAGGGAAGGGAAGGGAAGAGATCTTCCTCTTATAAGGTCACAGTCCCATGGGATTATGGCTGTACCCTTATGATCTCATTTGACTTTAATTACCTCCTAAGAACCTATGTCCAGATTCAGTCACACTAGGGGTAGGGCTTCAACATATGAATTGGGGTGGGGGAGGTGATGGACACAATTCAGTCCATAGTACTCTCCATGCCTTTGGATAGTATGCCTCAAATTAAGTATAATTAATTAGGTTGAGTTGTCCTTCAGCCCAGCCTTAAAAATAGCTTCCTGCCTAGCCAGAAAGAATAATTTTGCTGGTAGGATTAAATTTAAGAAGGACCACATCCCCCTACTTCTAGAAGAAGAGCTGCCTTCATGGAGGAGTAGGGAAGCTAGTTTTCCTCCAAGAAAGCCTTTTCTGCAGTACACGGTCTGTTCTTGAAGAGTAAAGCTCTAAGAACCCTCCAGGAAGGCTTGTGTACCTGCCCAGAAACAGGAATTCTCTGCAAACTAAGAGACTCCTTTGGTAAATTGTATTCTGGGTCCCCACACTGCACAAAAATGAAATCTGTTCTCATCCCCTGAGCTACTCTTGCCACATTGCTATTGCTACCTTATTATCTCCTTGGTTTCTCCTACGCAGTGAGATTGGATCCCAGTAAAATGTCTTTTCATTCTCTGAACTCACTCTACTGACATCACAGTTACATTACTTCCAGCTTTGTTCCCATGACACACCATGAACTCAGCCCACTTAATGGCTTCCTGCCCTTCTTAGCTGCAAATTACTTGTATGTTTTTACTGCATGGTTTTGCTTTTCATATTATAACATTTTTCTCGCTATCTCCTGTTACCAGCCTTGAGATGTTGTATGAATCCTACTTTAATTTCCCTTTCCCGCACGGGCTCTTTTCAGGTTCCTTGATTCCCCCCACCACCACCACCACTCCCAACCTCAGCCTATCACCTGGCCTGGTCAGTGGCAAGCCTCAGATCATATGCCATCAAAATCCCTTTGTACTAAGAGATACAGAAAGATCAGACAATGACAGAGGAAAAAGGCAGTCTTCTTTTATTGTTTTGTTTTGAAGCCAATGTAAGCTAACAGCATTCTTATTTACTAGTCTACTTATAAACAACGGGAAAGAAATGAACTTTTGCAAATTATCCCGCCCCCTGCCTGCCCCCCACAGATTTGGCCTCATCTGAGCTAAACTCACGTGTTAACTGGAATGAGCCATTAACTGACGAGGCAGTGCCCCCAGCTGCAGAGTGAATGTTCCTCCCAAGCTCATCCCCACTGAGGGTCAGCTGACAGGGCAAAGGCACTTGGCCTTTCAGGGCTGCCATGCCCAATAGGCAACGCAGCTGGGGTTGAGGGAGAGGTAGAGAGTGACACGGAGCGGGCTCTGAGTAGACCCAGCCCAACTGCAGCTCTGCCTTCTCAGGTGATGTGGCCTGGAACAAGCCACTTTCCTTCTCTGGCTCCGGTTTTATGTCTGGGAAATGAGTTAGGCCAAGAATTTCCCAAGACTCTCTTACGTGTAAGAATCTGAGAGGTCTGTGCATAAGAAGCAGGACGGCTCCACACCATGCGTGTGTGTGCACGCTGTGACCCGACCGGCTGAGGTTTTCAAAGACCAGTGGTAGCCATCGGCTTTGGAATATAGTGTTTAGCCACATAAACATACAAGCCAAATGAAAAGGGCGAGTCACATTTCCTTCTCCTTTGCTTGAAAATTAAATAGCGTCCATCTATCTGTATTCAAATCTCCCTCGGGGGTCGGGAGAAACCTAGATGACCTCTCGGCGAGGCTATGATTGACAGGCGAGGAAAGCGAGGCTATGATTGACAGGCGAGGGAAGAACAGCAGTTGTGCCTGTGATGAAGATCCTCTGGTTCTTTGTGGTTCTAGGCCCCATCGCTGTATCAGCAGCTGCCAGTCGTATTCCACCTTTAGCTCTGAGAATTTCTCTGTGTCTGATGGAGAGGAGGGAAATACCAGCGACCACTCCAACAGTCCTGATGAGGTAGCGGACAAACTTGAAGACCGCCTGGCGGAGAAGCTAGATGACCTGCTGTCCCAGACGCCAGAGATCCCCATTGAGATATCCTCGCATTCAGACGGGCTCTCTGACAAGGAGTGCGCTGTGCGCCGCGTGAAGACGCAGATGTCCCTGGGCAAGCTGTGCGCAGAGGAACGTGGCTACGAGGTGGGGCTTCTCCCTCCTCCTCTCCTCACTGTAGCTCTTTGGGGTCAGAGCGTGCCTGGGTCCCTATGGCCTTTATAATTATCATTTAGTATATGAGATAAAACAGGTGCCTCCAAGAAGTAAGTGGAGTACAGAGATACACAGAGCTCCCCAGTCAGGGCAGGTCTCCCAAGTGAGACTCAAACATCGAACAGCTCAGGCCTCCTTCATTCTAAGATTAGGTCAAACATCACCTGCTCCTGACCCCGTCTCGCTCCTCCATGTCCCACCGTCCCCTGGATGATGCTCTCATAGCACATGGGACGCTCGAGGTCTTGCACAGCACAGGACTGTCCCTGTCTTGGGAGGCAGGATAGTGTGGCCGAGAGTGCACATGCACACCCAGCCTCCGACGGCCTGGATGCCAAGCCCAGCCGGGGTTCTCTCCTGGCTGCCATGCTGGGCCAGCTGCTAACCTCTCTGTGGGTCAGTGCCCTCGTCTGCAAGGGGGAGTGATGACGGCATCTGTCTCCTAGAGTGCTTGTGAGGATTAAGTGAATTTCTAGACGTAAAGCCGTTACAGCAGTGCCCAGATCATAGCCAACACTCTGCAAGCAGGGCTGAGGTGGTCCTGCTGTAACTGCCATCATCATCATCGCTGTCATCACCTCTCTAGGTCTTCTTTCTCCAGAAACCCGGCAAGGGCGGGACCTGGGCTCATTTACCTTAGCCAGCAACCCAGTATGGTGCCTGTCATGTGGGAGGTGTCCGAAACGTGTTTACTAAATGATTGCCCAAATGGATTAATGTTTTATTTTGTCTCGACTTTGCAGAATCCTATGCAGTTTGAAGAATCGGACTGTGACTCTTCCGATGGAGAGTGTTCTGATGCCACAGTTAGGACCAATAAACACTACAGCTCTGCTACTTGGTAATGGAGGAAAACCCATCCTGAAGATCTCATGACTATACTGGCATTTCAGATCGTTCCCCCCCTCCCCCCAGACTCTTTCCCCTCTCTCCTTGCTTTTTTGTCTGGGAAGAGAGCTGCCCCATCTTTCTTACCCCTAGAAATGAGCTGCAATAACAGGAACATGAGACTTCGCAAATCTCTGGAAAAAAATATCCAAATGAAATTAAGTCTCACTGAACATTTCAATCAAGAATGGCAGGGATCTATTTTATTGAATATTCTAGCTACTGTAACATTGATATTTATTTTTGTTTGACATTTTAACACTTTGTACTGTAAAGAGTGAACTATATATGATATATAGGGAGAGACAATAATTCTTGCAAAAAAAAAAAAGAGAGAGTGAGAGAGAGATAAAGGAAGAAAGAAGTGGAATTTAGGAGCAACATCGTTGGGAATTTGTGGGGCCAGGAGGTATTACTGCTACTTGAACAGGGGACCAGTTTTTTGGCCATAAGTGACTGAAGAAGAGCCAGAGCAAGACATATGGATTATTTTAGAAAACAAAGAACAACGAAGGAAAAGCAATTCCAGGTAACTTGTGAACAGACCACATTAAGTTCAACCAGCTTGTCCAAACAGGTGATGGAAATGGCCTAGAAAAGATTGATGACCAGATACTTGCACCCAAGGCCTTTGAGGGCATGTGCTTACTCTAGGAGGAAAAAGACAACTACACCTGTGGAAGCTGATTTCATTTTAAAAATCTGAAGCAGCATCTGGTAGTGAGACTTACAGATAGCGTCAAACCTTGTCTCTGACAAATACTTCCCTTTTTAATGCTGTCATCGTCATGACCTTGACAAACGTGTGACCTTGACCAGTGTGTTGATTTTTCAGACTCAAGTGCCATTTTCTTGTAGCCTATTTCCTTTCCACCTGTTGACCACTTCCTTTAGGAAAAAAGGCGGGGGGTGGGGTGCTGATAAGAGAAAAAGGGGATTTACAACAGTATTAGAAAAGCAAATGTGGAATTTGTGAAAGTACATTCTAACAGTGTCTCAGTTCCACCTCGTGCAGAAGATGGGACCGCCCCTCTGTGGAACCAGGTTGCTTGTCTACTAGAGTCATATTCATTCAAACAGAACAGACTTTGAAGGCAGCTAGCACGTGTGTGAGTCTGTCCAGTGTCCAACCGCAAACCCCACCCCCCTCGTTTTCATTCATTAACTCATTCCATCCGGGAAGCTTTAGGGCCCGGCTACCCCTAGCAGGCACAAAGGCAAAAGAAGCGACTGGCAAAAGGCAACCCCTTTCCCACCACAACAGCATTTTCCTGAAATGCAACCTGTAAAGTGTATTTTACTGCACTCCGGATCAATGCAGTTTGGAACAATTGGATTTGGAAATTTCTGGAAAGAACTGATGCCGAGCAGCAGTTAGAAAGATCTGACACTGTCCAAGGCATGAGGTCCTGCTTGGCTCCGGGGTCCTGGGCTTTGAAAAGCACCCCAAGGTACTTCAGGGTGCCTTGGCTTCAAGGAAATTTTTATCTAGAATTTTATATAAAAACAGGTGTTGGCCTAGTTTCCATCTCTTTCTCCAAGAAAGGTTACTGTCAAATAACCTCTCTAGGCTCAAGACCTGAAGACCCTGGCTCAACTCTTTGACACTGCATCACACTGGACGTTAGGAAAGACTTACACATACAGGTATTAAACTATTTCCAACACAGATGAAACTGTTGCCCCCCTTCCCTCGGTATCACTGATTGCATCAGCCAAAAAGGAAAGGCGGAGGGACTTTAGAGCAGTTCCTTTTGCTTGTTTGATCCCTCCATTTGTTTACATTTTATGTTGAGACATTGATTTAAAATTTAGTGTCTATAATTTATAGCTCTTAGGTAGGATGAAGGAGAATGTTTAACTTATACAGAGAGCAGTATTGTTTGCATTAAATTATTCCATTTTGTATAAATTCTGTAGCTGGACTACATGAAAGATCTTAAGTTATGGCATTATTATCATTGTTATTTTATTTTATAATAATTATTCTCATTTTCTGTCGATCAGAAGGTGTGGTTTACAGTGTAGCACAATGATTGTGTGTATTGCTAACCATGAGTAATGATGGCTTTTTATGATCTTTATGAAGGAATGAAAATGGAACTGCCATTTGGGAGCTCCCTGGTATTCATCTTAGTTGTATTCCCTCATTTTCTGTGTGCAACAACAATCATCTGAGGATGCGGGTTCTGCCCTGGAGCCCGGTGGGTACACTGTGGTTTTGACTTGATCCTAAAAGCTCCTGGGTGGGCAGATGACTGAGTGGATGGACAAATACTTCAAAAGCTGTAAACTTTCTCAAGTTTCTTAAGAAATAAAATCATGGGACTACATTAGAAGCAAAAAGAGAATTATTTAGTGCCCTGGGAGGAACTGACCTAGGGGGTTGCCGCCTGGGGCCCGTAGGTCAGGCAGCGCCGGGAGCGGGCAGCAGGTTGTCCTCTCCTTCCTACCGGGTCCCATAGCACCAAACTCTTTTTTTTCTCCTGGCTGGGAATAGCAAAGAAACATTAAAACAAAATGACATAAAATGCCTGGCTGTGATGTCATCCAGTAAAAGATGAGAGAAATTCTAGAAGGAGGCCTAGTCACTTAGAGGGTCATAGGGCTGGAAAGGTACCTCGAAAGGCCAGAGTTTCCATCCTTGGACTTTAGACCCACACTGTCCTCTGACTCTCTCTGCTTCGTTGCTTCTGGGAACAGAGAGGCTACAAGTCTACATCCTCTTTCTCTCTAGCATAAAACACACTTCAGCTCGTCCAGTTCTTGCCCACCTCTAGTGGCAAAAGAGAAACATGAGGGTCAGCTTCTGTCTTAGCACCTTTCAGTGATGGTCTTCCTAGAAAATCTGATACCTGATACCTCATAATTTTGATGTTTTTTTGAGTTACCATCTTGACTGCCTGTCATGATTATGCCATATATACCCATCTGGGTTACTGTTATGAGCATGCTAGGCGAGCAGACAGTGTTGAATCTTTAGTCATTCACCGTATTGTCAAGAGTTGCATAAAGTTCCACACTGAACATTTTTATTTTTAGTAGAAGTGACTAGAGGCTTCAGAAGAGAACAGTGTCCATAGTCTAGGTGAAAAGCCTTCTCTATCCCAGCCTGGCCCTTCACTGCCTGCCTTGAGCTAACCAGGACAGTTGTGAATCGGTGTGTGTTTCTTTGAGAACAACTTCACAGTCATCTGAAGAGTGCTGCATCCAGAGCTCAGGGAATCGAAGAGTGGATTCTTCAGTCCTCAGGACCATGCAACATGCTGTAAGGAGCCTCACAAGACTATGATTTCAAGCTTCAGTGTTGATTGAAAGTTTAGCCCCCTTGGGATGAGCGTTCACATTCATTTAGCATCTGTTTTTGACTGACTGCAAGATAATGGGTTTTGTCTTGCAGATGAACATTTGGTTCTGATTTTCATCTATTTCTAGATCATGTCCTCTGATAACAATTCCTATTAAAATGGCTTAGCAGAGGGACTGAGAAGCCGACATCCACTTTGAAATAATAGACCTTACCGCCAGTGAAGTTTCAACCTGTTCGCAAAATTGTGGGAGCTCCTACTCAAAAAGGGTAGCGATGCTAGCTAGCTCTGCTGTAAGATGATTTGGTACAGCCTACTTGAATTTCAGATACTTAAAAACTTTAGTATCAACAAATCATCCTTCTAGAATTAAGGATTCTTAAAGTAGGACTTAGTAAATACTAGACATACATTTCAGAGCCTCATTTTTGCTAAATTTCCCTCTCACCCCAGGTAATAGATGTGATGGTATTGGATTTTCCTGGTACCAACCCAATTTTAAATGCCCTCCTCTACTATGAAGAATTGACATCCTTTCCATGTGAATGCAGCCTTATTAATCAAATAATTTACTTTTTTATCCCCATGCCCTTTTGTCTCAAGTTTCCCCCTTTTCGTAAAATGTTCCCACTTGAACTTTCTGGAACTGAACTCTCCAGAAGAGAACATATTTGGAACCCAAGGACTTCCTGCCCTGCCCTGCTCTGCAGTATAGTGTGTTTTGTTTTTCCACTAGAAAAAGAAACCAGAAACCAAACTACTACTGCATACCGCCATCTACCACCTCCACCCTTGAACACCCAAGACTGGTGTTATTTATTGATCGTCATATTCTTTCCACAGCCTCAGAACCTCTCACAGCAGGGCACTGGGGACAACTACCACTTGATTGGAATTGGTGTGTAGGGGGAGATCTGTTTTGGCATCCCAATCCGAAGTTCATAATTAATTTTCTCAAGGCGGTTTGATATCTTGAGTTAGCTCTGAAGGGAGAGTGACAGGATCACACCAGTGTCCTCCTTATGGAGGCCACCCTGTGGCTGTTGGGGCATCAGCACCATTGGCAGGAAAAAAGGCCACTTGCTTCCGCCCACTGCCCTTTTGGATGACAATTCCAACTGAGTAATTTCCAATCACTGATGAATGGAATTCCAAAGTGTCTCTGCATTTACATCATTTCATTGTGTTCAGTAAGCATGTTCCTCCCTCCCCTTCTATGAACAAAGTTAATACGTTAAGTCCCAGTTACTTCTTTCTTAGACTCCGTGAGGCTAATGTACCAAAACAATGTGATATTCTTTTTAAGACTTTGACTTGTACTGTTGGTATGAATTTAGTGCCTTTCCAGGCAGCAAGATTTTTCTTCTTCGCTGATTTCATAGAATAAATGCCCTAGTATACTCCTACCACCAATGTTACCAACCTCATAGACTAGCACCTAAGAATTACATTAGTCGGCTTGTTTGCATGCTACCGCCAACATTGCAAGCGCCTATTCAAACTGGAATGAACAAGGTTGCCAAGTGGAAGACCCTTCTGGAACCCGGAACACTTCTCAGGGACAAATGGCAGAAGAAGGGGAGCTCTCAAAGCACTGCTTTGAGAAACAGGGTTACCTCCAAAGAGTTGGGGTAAGGCTTCTGTTAACTGTCACGTGATGAGGGCATCGTGGCAGGATTTCACAGAGACAGGCCCCTCCGTGGATGCAAGGCCGCTGTAAGGAAACCTCCAGCCGAATGCCAGGCTTACTCCCTGGAGCCACTTCACCGCACTCGGGAGCGCTGGCCCCTGGCCCCAGGTTGCTGCCCGGTGTCCTGGCAGAAAGGGTCCTCCGATGGTGCCACGCAGAGGGCCCCACAGTCAGAATGTGCCAGCTCTTAGGAAGATGGCCCTCAGGGACCGTATCACCTGGGCGGCTCTCCACCACTTGGATTCTTTATTGCAATAATTGGAGTTCCTATCAGTTTGGAGCAAATTCTTTCCTGTGGTTAAGTCTCAAAATGAGCTTCCTCATCTGTCTCCCCGGGGTCTCCAGTCCTGTCAGTCCCCCGCTCCCTGTGGTTTCGGACGCCAGCTCCATTTGTACTGGGCAATTGTACGGTGAGGGGAACGGGAGTGACGATCGAAGCAAACCAATGCATGGAATTAAACAAAAAGTGTGCTTCACTCCTTTCTGGTCCTGTCTTTTCCTAAGGTGCTATGTGGGTCCTGACAGCTGCCTTCACCTGTCCGGGCACTTGTCAGAGCTTTCGGGAAGGGAAGACTCGACAGGCAGGGTGTCCTGCGGCCAGGAAAGCCGGGGGTGGAGAAGCTGGTTTCTGTGGCTCTGTTGTTTCAGACACACCCACAGAAGGAAGGGAAACCGTCGTTTTCTTTCCTCATAGTCTCTTCTTGTTTTGTCACAGCCTGGACAGGTGCCTTCCTGCCTTCCCACGGCTTCCCCGCTGCCCATCTTGTAGGTCCTCCTCTGTTCCTAGTGACCCCACTATGGAGTGAGTGCAGAGAAGAAAAAGGGGAAAACAAAAATCTGGCATCCAAAGAATCATAGTGGTGAGAAGCCTCCCAAGAGTGGAAAGCTAAAACACCATTTTGGATCGTCTGCTTTTCAGCCAATCCTAATTCCCACCGGCAAGGGGAATGGAAAGTTAGCAACATGTCCAACACACACCACACAGAACATTAATATCCATTTATTTGGGAAATTGCTTTACCTGTAAACTCACAACTGGTAAGGCACATTGTAGCAAAATCATGGGGGGAGAGACAAATACAAGGATCTGTGAAGGGCAAAGGGCACATACTTGCAGTAGTGTAGAAGACGCTGGTTTCCCCCTTCTCTCCTCCTCCTCCAGAACACAAAAAGCTACAGATTTCACACAGCCTTCTCCTCACGCCCCCACTCGTTACCAAGCTTCTCTGAAAGCAACACATCTTTAAAAATGAAGTTCTTGTTGTGTTTTTTTTGGATCATACCATGTCCCTAGAGCACAGCTTGGGAACTGATGCTTCCTACTGAACAGGAGCATTCTCAGGAATGCATGTAGAACAGTGGGCCAAGTGAAAGCCTTGGCAAGACTTTGGCCAAGCCAGATCAAAACCCAGCAGGTGACGCCCAAAGGCAACAGTTCCGGTAAGAAACGATGAGTTACTCCTGTAGGGTCCGGGATCCCAGAGCTGGTCAGTTTAGGTGCCAAGGTCCTTGTGTCCCTGGCAGCATTAACCCAGGCCTGTGCCCGTTCAATACCACAGCTGCAAGAAGCAATGACAGCTACAGAACATTAAAACATCACACAACAAATCCAAAACCCAGTTTCCCTCTTTGGATTAAAAGATAAAAGTATTCCTCAGTTATTCTCAACAAATGACAACATGAAAAAAAATAGAGGGCACACTGGCTGA